AAAATAAATGACACGTACAAGAACAAGACAATTCTGACCAGCTGTTTCAGAAATATAATGTATTTGAAGTTGTCTTGTTCCAAAAATGTTGCGCGAAAACGGGATAACTCCGGATAATTGTATTGTTTTAGATATAAGAGTACCTTAATATTAATTTGTTTTCTTCTTATGTCTGATGAATGATACATTTTAGACGTAAAAAAACAAAATCGGATTCAATTTTATTAAAATATAGAAGTTTTTTTAAAAAAAAAAGGTAAACAAAAATTCTGGACAAGAAACCAGACAACTCCATACATTTAAAACATTTTGTTCGTTTCCTGAACAATTTGAAAAAGTGGAGTTGTCAAGTTTTTCCGCGGAACCCTTCAAATAGTCTATCCTTTTCTTTCTTATGTATACTGGAACTAAACTTTATCAACCAAATCAAAAACCCAACAAGGCTTACGCGGGTTAGGGCCCTAAAACCTACATTTTCGGAATTTTCGATAAATATTGTAGACATTCGAGTACAATAATAATAAAACTATGTTTGAAACGTTCTTTGAAAAGTGATAAAATATTGAATTAAAACTGCCTCTTTAAGTAGTCACATAATTACCACAAAGAATATAGCATGCCCTTATAATAGAACACCATCGTAATTGTAGTATAATTACGGTTAGTTTATTAGTTTATTCATACAGTGAGTTATAATACAGATATTCATTTGATCAGTCTATACATTTGAAACGACCACACTTATACCAGTGCTTAGGCTTAATGTCCCGTCCATGCAAAAGTGGATCCAGGAGAGCAGACACTGGAGGCCAGTAACATCCCCGTTACCAAATTTTAAAAAACAGAAAACAAAATCACTTTATTTACTGTCTGGTTTTGTCGTGTAAAATATTATCAATATTTGATGTCGAGACAGAGTTGAAATATTCATAAAGAAATTTAAATAAGATGAAAATCCACGTGAATGTTTTTCACACTAAATCCGATAGTGCAAATAGAATAGAAATCACATACATACTTTTTAAGTAAAATAATACAGTCCAGCGCCATAATCGCACTTGCAACAATTATCCTGACCTTAAATATAGATGTTAGATCCTTGCTCTTTTGCGTCTATAATCTGATAGCTTAAAAGTCAACAGTAAAATAATAAGTACATTTTTTCAAAAATCGGTTTTATACGTCCAATCAAGAAAACTAGATCCTCTTGACGGTTTTATACCAATGTCAAGTGTCCAAAATGATTAGAATTTTTAGAACTATCAAGAGATTATTTTCATATAATAATATTTGACATTTTGCGGACTCACCGTATTTTTGAACGCGAACAAATTCAAAAACACTGTGACTCAAATAGATATATTAACGTTGGAGTTAATCCGACATTTGCTCGGATATGGAATATATATATATATGTTATAGAATTATTAGCCGAAATATAGTATAATAAATAAGGTCACTACTAAATTTTCGGCCTGAATCGTGTTCTGGTTACATAAACCGAAAACAAAAAAAACTTTCTAATTACAATTAAAATATAACGAAAAAAAAATGTTTAATAATACAATTAATAGGAATAATATTATAACAATTCAGAAATATATCTATCGAGTATAGTTATTATAAGTTTTACTTAAGCAAAGCCAATAGAAACTTTAAAATTCGATACGAATAACATATTGCAGTAGGTAAACTGAATCAAAATCCTATCCAAAATCTAATTTCCCAAAAATCTCCGTAGAAAACAAACATAATATTAACTTTAAAATGGATAAGAATTTGGATACGCTGAGCAATCAAAACGATATATCTTCAGTCTTTTCCCTCGCCTTCATCTCAACTATTTGGAATCGGACACTTTCGTTCTAAATGTCTAGTTGACCAAAAATTCCACCAGAAATACAAGAATCCGCGGTCCTCATTCTCAACCGCATCCAAGCATCACTTTTTCAGTCATCCTCTCCGTCTATTTCTTCCTGCGTCTATTATCATTCCAATGCTTACTGTTTCAGAATCCTCTATCTCTTTGACATATTTAATACACCTCAGTCTATTTTCTCTCATTTTGTCTACTATTCGAAGCCATGCATAAACCTCTTATGTACTCATCCCTAATCCTATCTTATCTCGTCACTCCACTAAGCATTGTTTTGTTTTTCTGTCTACCGCCCAACACTCTGATCCATACAACATAGTAAATCTCTCCACACTTCAATAGAACTTAGCTTTAATGTCTCATTGGAATTCTCTCGTCAAATGAAACTCAAAACACATGACACCTCTCTCTATGTTATCTGACCACACGTAATTCTATGTTTCACATGCTCATGAAAGCCATAGTTTATTTTTGTACTCAAGATCCTTGGTCCTTAAAAACACTCAACCTTGCATATAACTGCTTATTGTCTTGTCTTTTCCTCTAAACTCATAATCTGTTTTACTCTTACTTACCATTAGTCTAATAAAGTAACATATTCTAAATTTTCTCCTATCGAAAATATATAATCAGCAAAATATTATGCATTTCGATAATTTTTTTCACCCCATTGTCACCGTGCACATTCGAGATTAGACAGTCGGTCGGATTTGTGTTTAGAACTCCTCATAATTTTACACTGACTATCGACCTAACGCAACCACATTTGTCACCTCTTATTATAGGTATAGTTACCGTGGGAGTATTCGGATCCCCTTTCATGGAAAAAACGTAACAATATATAATATGATTATATTAATAATCAGTGGCATACGCAGAGAGGAAGTATTTGGTTATACTTTCTCCCCCCATTAGCTTAAAAATATAAAAATATTAGTAATTAATATAGAAATGCATATATTTTAGCAAAATTACGAGGAAAGGCTTGATATGGTGATTAAAAATTGGCTTTTTTTAGGAACTGGCTTTTAAATTAACCAATTTCCATAGTCGATTTGGGTGAAGAAGACTATTTTACGATTCTAAACTTCTTAGGATAATTCCAGAACACTTGGGAGGACAGAGTCCTCCTTTCTTTTTTTCTTTCCTTTTTAGTGCACCAAATTTTTTTTTTTTGTAACGGAACGCTAAGAACCCAAAATTTACTAGTGAACATTAAACCATTAGTGTTTTGGATGTAAAATATAATAACCATAATATTGTACCTTCTTTGTACAAAAAAAAATTCATATAATAAAATTCAGTGATAATAAATTGTAATATACACACGATTTAAGATACAAATATATAACTTTAACCGTAATCACGCATCACAAAACAATATCGATGGATAGAATCTATTAAGGATAAAGTTAATGATACCACTCATATGTTTAGGAATTATATATGATGGATTTTCTGAACTTGTACACTTATCGTTACTGCTACAAAAAAGAAGTTTATCACTTTCAGCTGTATTATTAGATTCAATTATACATTATTAACGTACTATCAGAATTTCTAATTCAATGGCTAATATATGTGCACCAAAAACACAAGAAGCTGTGGATGCAGGGGGACATTTTATGTTCAAAGATGTACAATTATTCACAAAGATGTCAATTTCAAAAATTAAGCATGTTCAGTTTTTTAAGAATTTAACTAATTTAAAGATTTTGATTTATTAAATTCATGGCCCGATAACCAGGCATGATAATGTTGTTATTTAGTATGGTGATTATTGTATTAGAAGATTAGTTGCAATATTTCATTTAAATGAAAACACTACAATCTAAGGATTCGGTGAATTGAAATATATCTACAAAAGGTTCCTCAAAAATAAACTATCTACATCCCCTTTTAACTGCAGTCAGAACATTTGCAATTTCCTCCTCTGATTGTATGAACAATATATTTACAACAAAAAGAAATGTTTTGACTACAGAACATAAATCTCCATTGGTTTTTCTTCAACTGTATAGGACATCCTGTTCAGTTGTTCAAATTACATCATTATGTTGAGAGCTGAATTAAAGGTGGTGAAAGAAACGTAGATAAAGTAAATTGACTCAAAAGATCTTTTTAAAATAAAGATAGTTCATACCAACATTTATGGACCTTATTTAGTGCACAATTTATTAATAATTGACCAATTTGATATTTTTAAAAAAATAATTAATAAATAATCCTTTTTTTTTTTATATATATATATAAGCTGTTATATATCCATTGTTAATAATATCCTAGAAGTATTACAACTCTAATGAAGTAAAATAGAAAGTTTCAGCCGTTTTAACGCAGAAGTAGATTTTAAAAACAACATATTTATATTACAATGTGTAATTTTTGCTTTTTGTGTCATGTGTACACTGTGTTTTTGTGATATTTTAATTGTATTTAGAAACTTTTTAATTTTATTTTATAAGTATGTAAATCCTGGGCACGTCTTAGGCCGAGACTATATTATTATAGTAGTTACCTGATTCGTTTTATTACGCTTTTGTTTTGGATTCGATAATTTTAAAACGTATTAATCGAGAAATAAATAATTTAAAAAAATTTTAAAAAAAATCCTAAAATTTATAGGTTTGGTTGAATTTACCGACAGCCAATTATTTACGGTGAGTTTTTTAACCGTATCAAGCATGAGTAGGTTTTATGCTTCTGAAAAAAAAAACCTCCAGGGAATTTAAACGGATCGGAAACTCTTAACGATTTTCAGTATTTATGTTTGACGTACAACTCGTTGACCCTAGCCGCCTACTAAATTGGTTTCTGAGCTCACCCCAATATGCCCAATTGGTTTCCGTATGAAAAAGGTACTTAATGAAAGTGAGTCGAATTGATTACCGTTTTATTTCTTCAATTGTACAATAAATATAATACTTAGATAACTGTGTAATGAAATACGTTATTGTGGGACACTTAGATCATCAAAATATGTGACGAAAGTTTGCTTCAAATTATCACCTCAATAAGCTCGATTTTAGTTTCTAAGCGGAGTGAGGAAAGTATTGATTTTACTATGTTTTTATTTTTTTTTTTCCGGTAAATGACTTTTCTACCAGAAATTTCGCTCCAAATTTCAAGTGTAGCACTTTTTTTTGAAAAAAATTTTAATCCGAGTGGTACTTGATGGAGGTAATTTTTTGATATTCTCAGGAGCTTTCATAAAAAAACGGGAAATTTTTGAAACTTAATATTTTCAAATTGTATATATTACGGAATTATAAAACACTTATAACCGAACATGTTCTTCCACAACTGATATACATTAAAATTCCTTTCTAGCTTCCAAATTTCTCATCTACTACAGTGGCCCACCCGTCGTGCAAAGTATGTCCTTTTGTTTTTCATTTTTTTTCAACTGCAACCTATTCGGCTACACCCCCGTCAATATTACCAATAAGGGGCACCTACCTGCTGATGTTCAGATTGCGTAGAGTCTCTATTAACGTATTTCGCGTTGCGTCTCAAACGCGACTGGTCCGTTTCGTCGATGTCTCTGTCCCTGAAGCGGCTGAAGTCTGTGTTGCTGTCGCGACGCTGCGAATCGCGGCGTTCCCCGCTTCCGCGGTGGACCGATTCACGGCGTTGCAAGTCACGATATTGCTTGCCACCATTGCGGTCCCGATCATGATCGTAGTAATTGGTGCTACCACCGTTACGGTCGCGGTCGGGTTCACCACGGTATTTTACGCTGCCACCATTACGGTCCCTGCCCTGATCACGAAATTGAACGCTGCCACTGCCGTTACGGTCTCGGTCCTGGTCGCGGAAATGGACGCTGCCACTGCCGTTACGGTCCCGGTCCTGATCACGGAAATGGACGCTTCCACTACCGTTACGATCCCGGTCCTGATCACGGAAATGGACGCTGCCACTATCGTTGCGGTCCCGGTCCTGGTCGCGGAATTGGACACTGCAAGCACCGTTACGGTCCTGGTTGTAGTCTTCTTCGTTACGTGAATAAGCGGCGTGCGACGTGCTTGGCGATTCTCTAGATAATCTGTCCGCTTGCCGGCTCTGGCGACCGCTAGTCTGCTGGACGTTGCTGCCCCCACCATCGCCACTGCCGGTACCGGTGCCATTCACGCTGTACTGCCGCGATCTGTTGTACGACTGCGCCCCGCTTTCGGACTGTGCCCCGGCCCGTTGCGCGACGTTGCTGTTTAATGGGCTGCTACTGTTGGCGCTAGCGTACTGGTCGCTGTTGCTCGGGCTTTTGTTGATCACGCGGTTAGGTGGCAACGGCGGTGGCTGCAGACGCAGATCATCGCTCAGCTTGATATAGCCGTTGTTTAAACGGTGGAATTCGACCGACTTCGAGGCCGGCGTCTTTTTCTGGGGGTCGGCCGTCGTCAAGCTGTCGCGCGAAAACGACGAACGAACGTTGGAACTGTTGGCTTGCTGTTTCCCGATCTGGACACCGGACGCCGGTGTCTGCTGTTGCAGGGGCTGGTATTGTTGCTGTGCCTTGTTGTCACTGGCGGACGACTGGTAATACGGGTTTGCATATATCGACCTTGGTACGAATTGCGATGTGGTTTCTGCCGGATCTTTTGAATCGTATTGAGACTGAACGCTCCCTCCGACGTGGCTCACGGTTGTTTTGGGCAGCGGCACCGGGTCCGGAGCTGCCGGCACCGGCTTTTGCGCGGGTGTCTGTTTAATCGAACTTTTCAGTTTCGTCCCGTCCCGAAGTCTGCCCTTCTCCAATCCTGTGAACAAAAAAAAAATTACATATCTTAAAACGTGAATTGTGAAGTTAATTAAAATTAAAACAGAGCATTTGTGCGAAAGAATACGTGCACTTGGTAAGGCGGGTATAACAAAATGTTATCGATATTTTATTCTCTACGTATGTTGTATACCATGTGTATCAGCGGTGTCGAGATTAATAGGAGGGTGAATGGATGAAGCAGTAACAATAAACGTAAGTGGGAACACATGCGCGAAAACGGACGAGTTTTCGTCCGCTGCCGGATATACTATTAAGTTTGACAGGGTACAGTCAAAATTGTTCATTCGAATGAGGTACGAAAAACGTCAAATAAATTTAGAAACATTGTATTAAACAATTTATATCCTACAAGTCGACTAGTCATAGTTCAAATATTTAATATAACCGGTGGTATAATTATTATTACATACGTGTTCTCATATTATTAAAAAAGCAAGAAAATGATAGTTTTAAAAAAAAAAAAAATTATTCATGGGTGAATAGTTTTTAATCTGCAACCCCAATGAAAATGGCGGGGTTGCAGATGCTGCTACCTCGCTACCCGTAATCATGTCTATTTCCACGGATATATATATATATATATATAACAAATTCAATGACTTATAGCCTTATTCTTCTACTCCGTTGCAGGTTTGATATCGTAAATTAAAATAATCTGTTTCTAAAAATTCCAATATGGCCATCATTATATAAATAATTTTGAAATTAATTCTCGGTACAAATATTAACTAACAATGCATAATTGAGTTTCTACAGTATTATGAGTTTAAAAAAAATCATAATAATTATTTTTCGTGAGAAAATCGGCAGTTTAGTAATAACAATGAAACCCGTTTAAATATTATTAACTGGTAAATTTGAATGAACTCCGAAAAATAATGTTAATCGATTCCCCAGGTAGGTTATTTTTGATTAAAACATTTTGTAAACATCAAAAATATTGAGAAATTTAACGATTCATTGTTAGAAAATATATGTAATACGTGCGATAATGCATTGTCTTTCGTAAAAGTGCATCGTAAAAACAACCATTTTAAGTACAATAATATTATCGTACGGTTATTTACGAATAGATAGCCGAATATGATAACAAATAATATTTAAACAATAATTATAGTAATAATAACAATTGTGTACACTAAAAAGATACACGAATTTAGATAATCGACTAATATTTTCTAACTGTGCTCAATATTATGAAATATAATCGAATACGTGGTTAAAAGGAAAATTTGAGATAAACGTAGTAGGAAAGAAACGGAGAGTAAGACGAAAAAATAGGTGGTTGGGTGCAATTGAGAACAATGTGAGGCCGGTGAATGCGAGGTGGGAGATCGGGCCAAGTGGAGGGTCAAGAACGAGGGTAGTAGATCCCAAATAGTTGGGATGAAGGTGAAAAAAATAAGGAAGATGTCTATTCTTCTTCTACAGTTGATATTGTAAGAATAAAACTGCTTATTACTAACGAATATTTTAGTATTCTAGAATATCATCCAATTTTACCGATGTTATACAGAATACCTAAATAGGGCGGGACGCCAAAAAGTGATAACTTTGATATCTGGGAAAGTAATAGCTTTTTCGTGATTTTTTTTTATAATAATTTGTTAAACGAATAGCTCTAAAATATATTACGTTTCCATAATTTTGCTGTCGACAAACGAATATTTAATTTCAAATTGATTCCTGTACTAAAAATGCCGTAAATATTAGCTAGTATTTGGTTCAAAGCGTTTTAAGGTTGAAATTTTTGTTGTTCGTCGACCGATCGATGAGATATTCCATTTTTAAGTTTGGGCTGGGAAAGAATAGTGAGGTATTATTTATATGGCTACACTGCTGCGTGGGCCGTTTGAACACTCCGCTTCTTCTTTATCCCTACACATACTTAAAAATGGAATATCTCGTCAGCGTGTCGACAGAAAACAAAATTGTCAACCTCGAAATGCATTTAAACTAATACTCCGTCTGTTTATGGAATTTTTAACAGTCGGTTCACGTCCGAAACTAGAGGGACAAAAAAAATAGAAGGCAATATAACATTTTTAGAGCTACTTGTTTTTTAAATTGAAAAAAATACCAGAAAAATTAATACTTTCCAAGACATCGAAATGGCCTTCGCGAGACATTACGTATACTGATAATAGGTCTGACCGACGTTTCTCGTGTCAATTTAATTTTCTCTTTTTTTTTTTAAATCCGAATTATATATATATATATATATATAAATCCTTTCGAAAGCCGAAATCAATAAAACAAATTCAATTTAACATGTCAGCCCTTGTCAGCCCTATATATAGCCATGGTCGCCATTTTTTATTTCATTTGCGTCTCATCGTATTAGACCGCTGATACAATGAACTTATCTAAACTATTATCTACAGTGACATCTGTGTCACCGATTTAAAGGCGGACTAAAAAAAAATAAATAAATAAATAAAAATCCTTTAAAAAACAGAAATCAATGAAATAAATTAAATTTAACTCGTATACCCGTTTCCGCCGCCTACGTTCCTATTAGTTGATATTTGCAGTTTTACTCCCGCGACAACCAAATTAACCGATAACAATATTATTGTTTCATCCGTGTCACCAGGTTAATCGGTAATCAACAAAAAGAAAACGATACAAATGCTTAGAGCTCAGAGGTCGTGGTTGCCAGGAGCGCCGACGGTGATTGTCGAACGAGCCGCGTCCTCATCGGAAAATTAAACCGAAACTACCAATTATAAATCGGTCGTAATTGTTTTATTTTTTTTTTTGCATACACACAGAGATTATATCGCAATAAACGGTGAATCGATTAGGTAAGCGGTAGGTTTTTGTTCAGACAATAACGGGTTATCTTTAAAGTAATAGAGCCCAATCGATCAGTCGTCCAACCCCAGTGTCCGATCGTAACCTAAAATAAAGGTATTAGGACTTCGAGATTCCTTTCACTTTTTCTTGGGATTATTGCTCGAGACGGGTATTTCCACTTCGAACTCAATCTAAACCGAACGCAGACCGAATACTGAAGAGAAATCGATAATCGCCGTCCGGGTTTATGAGAGGAACGCTTACGAATTATGGCCGCATAAAAATAACCACTTTGTATCAGTCTATATTGACGGTACATAGTAAAAGCTTTGTTTTTCGCACATTTTCTTCGTTTATAACCCATTAATTCTGAATATTGTATATAAGCCTCAGATTGAACTCGAAGTAAAACATCAATTAAGTTGTAGGATAGTTATATAGTGTAGAACGACTCATTTTGTGTTTTGTATCGTCCGTCGTCATATTTTAGACACCAGTTTTGACGTGGTACATTAAAAATTTAAAAAATATTAACGCTAAGCGCTCCTCGTGGCGTGACAAAGTTACAGATCAACGATTTACAGGGCTGGAACGGCCTATACATCGAAAATAACACGCCAGTCTGCCACTAGCCTATATAGCCATGGAAACAATATTTAAATACAACACGACCGTGATAAATATTTCAGCCAAACGTTGAAAAAGCATATTATTGTGGTTAATACAGCATCGTGTAAAAGAAAAGCTATTGATGAACGTGCTATTATAATAATCACATCAAACGAGGTTCACGGTAATCCGTTATCAAAATCTTAAAATCGATATTTTTACTGCTACGATATTCTACCCTATTTTAGTGAAACAAACAGCAAATGCTGAATTTTAAAAATTGAGGTCGTTTTATTTTCGGACTAATCGGTTAATTCGGCGGTTTTTTTTCTTTAGGTGAAACGCAGTGACTCCATTATAAAAGGTTTTAAAATGCATTATAAAATATCGTATCGACCGAAATATTATCGAACACGGTATGAAACGTGTCCTACAGAATAAAGCAGTACGTACGACGGATATGCTATTTAATTGATTTTTTAACGAATATATTGCATATTTGAGTTACCGTCATAACCGCGACGGCCAAATAGCTAAGCGTAAAATAGCTAAACGACATAATACCGAATATTCAAAACAGCTATAGAGTATGTTATTTTAAAATTATCGAAAATTAACCGCGAAACTATATAGAGACTTCAAAAACATTTGTGACATTGAACGATCCGCGGTTTAACGTACACTGTCACTTGCCGTATACCAATTTTGCTCGTATCTTATCCACTTATTTTATTATTACCAATGGCTTATATATGGAATATTTGTTTATCCGCTGGATAACCAGTTATAAAACTAATTGCGATTATCAGTAATACTTTTAGTAAGATCGAAACTTTTAGATGACAACAATAATAATAACCATATTTTAAAATGATATACTTTAGCTGTTTCGAACTTCTCTATTTATGTCTTTTAGATATTTTATGCTCAGCTATTTCACCGCCGTTATTTCTATATTCACTATTCCGATTTCGCGGTTATGATGTGCTACCTGCATATTTTCCTATACAGTAATCTTAGCTAAAACTACTTTGCTGTACGTACACTTAAACATGAATCGAAATTTATCAGATACTTCATTGGAAAAAACTTTAATTATAATGTGTTATTCGTTCTACTGATATTTTTTTATCAAAACATCTTTACAGAGATACTGTATGTACGTTTATACATGAGCATATACATTTTCCCGTTTTTTTCGTAAGATTTTTCCATTTATTATGAAAACCATTGAGAATTTAAAAATATACCTCCTTAAAATACTACTCCAGTCAAATTCTATTTCAGAAAAATTGCCGTACTTGAAAATTGGAGAAAAATTTCTGGTAGGAAAGTTGTTCACAGAAAAAGAAACAATAAACATCATTGGAAAACCAAATACATTCCTCGCTCCGTTCAGAATTCAAAAAATTCTCGAAGAAATTGAGGATGACTCTCTTAATAATAATTAATATAAAAGAAGTAAGTGGAAATAAGAATTTATTGAAAAACAAGAGAATCGAAAAACTCAATTCCCACCGATTATACTTTTGGAGATAAGGACTACAAATATTTATATTTCAATTCATTTGTTATGTTTTCGTAAAAAGCTTATAAAAAGAATTTTTTATTTTATTATTTTTGAAAAATTTGAAGATAGCAATTTTATAAAATTAATTTCTCTGAAAATGTTTTGATGTATCAACTTTTTATTTTTATTAAATTCGTGGTTTGTTTTTAATGTTCAGAGAAAAGTACCTGTTATATAGTTTTTTAGCAGGCTGTAATCGCATTCGCTAATTGATTATTATTGTTATAGCTAATTGGAGTACATTTTTTCCTATCTGAACATAAAAAATTTTTATCAAAAATCACGAATGTAATGAAAATAAAATGTCGATACGTCAGAATGTCCAGATAAATCTATAACTATAAGATGGTAGTCTTCAAATTTTCTAAAAACAATAAAATAAAAAGTTATATTTTTATTTTTTAATATTTTTAATAAAACATAAAATATCAATTGAAATATTTAAATATTTTTTAGTCTCGTTCCCCGTGCGAATAATTCGGTAATATAAACAAAAAAAAAAACAAAATTGGATTTTTTTTATTATTTATTCGTGGGACGCTATGTATTTGTTTAACGTCCGTCACTACTACCTACGGGATTTTTGTCCTACTGTTTTTTTTATGCGATTTTGTTAGTTCAAGTTACCGGATGACGACGTTTCGTGACGTATTACAACGACGACAAACAATAATATCGTAGAGAATGATAATATATATGGGTAATACATTATTATAGCTACATGATACACGTGCGCTCGTTTTGTCCGTCGCGCTCCTCACGGGAACGAGAAACGGTGAAAAATCGGAAACACGTGATGGATAATACCGAGGAGCCTGATATGATCTTATATAATGAAATGATAATAATAACATTATGTTTTTGCGTTGCTATGGTAAATGAAGTAAAAAAAAAAAAGAATTCTAGAAATAGCATAGTATCATTACATAAGTGAATTAAAATGTCTTCAGATTATATTTTTAAAGGATAAAAAATAACGCACTGATAGGTAATCTGTATATATTATGTATAACATGAGTAAAACAAAAAAAAGTAATAATAATACGAAACGAGAGAGGAAATTTAAATTAGAAATTCACGAAGACGGTGATGTAGGTACGACGACAATATATTTAGAGCCCTAAATTCGCGTTTTTTTTTTTTTTAATTCTTTCAACAGCATATTATCGAGTTGTGTTGTACGCCTGATTCTCGGGTACGTGTAACGCGCTCGGAAATGTTTCCCTTTCTCTCTCAACTGTACCGGAGCAGTAGAAATGTGTTATCGACTTTTTGTACAAAAACGCACGTGAAGTTTACTCGTTTGAAGAAAACAAAAATAATCGAATTCGCTCGAAATCCAACTAGAAATACGCCGCTGGTCCATGATAAATTAAACACCCTGTGTGGTACGTCCTATTTTCTGCGATCTCTCAAGTTTATAACAATTCACCGCAACGGTCGAACCGAAAACGCACTCGAATTGGAAAATGCACTTACTGGACTTTTGTGAAATCGGAAAACTGGTAAAATAAAACGAATTCCCAAACTTTTCATATTATTATAGTGTATGTAGAGAGTTCCAGCCAAACGTTAAAATATTTATTCATGAATTATTAAACGGTTTTAAACAATTTTTTATTTTAAGCAAAACATTTTTACCCGAATCCATACAAAGATTTCAATATTAGTTATGTTCCATAGAGAATTTATTATTAAGGATTGTTCAATTATTTCGACTTTACTGCAGAGAATTGAATTCTCTCAAACTCGTTGCCCGCAAGCTCGAATAATTCCAAATTTTCGTTTTAGAACTAATCATTTCAGCTGTCCCTTTGCTGTTCATATACAACCGCCGTCTGTACTCTAATACCTCAGCACTTTAATTCATCGTTAAAACCGCATAATCCGTACGAACATCAAACATCGCCGAGACAAAACCGCAGTCTGTAATGTATTCTAAAGTAAAGATTTAATGCTCTAGATCTTGATGAACTCTTATTACACTGTCGTGATTACGAATTCCTCTGTTTTACTGCATCATATACTGTCGTTTCCGACCACCATTCCCCTCCAACGAAATTTCTTATGGCCAAAAAAATTGTTATAAATGTTATGACATTGTACCTATACCTATGATAAACTTACTATGGAACGAACTTTCGAAGGAAATAATTTTATCTGCGTCTGTGTTTAATCATGAACACAATGTCATTATAAATTTACATTTTTTGATTAAAAAACGATATTAACTATGATTTTACACTTTATTCGTTTCACTAATTTTTTTAATCGATATGTAAGACTGTTTTTTGGCTGAATTTATTCACATATTAAAAAAGTTGAAACCAGACGTACTTCGTATCATGGGTAGGTCACTCAAGTGGGTTTGAAATACATGGAGTAAACAGGATGATCGATAAATCGTTGCAATAAAACAAGAGTAATATTTCAAATAAAGTTCTGTCCGATAAACAGACCGTACCATTTAAGGTACATTGTGAAAAAAAAAACATAGTAAGATAGAGATTTTTTTCTTCACTCGAATCTAATAAGGGAATTTTAAAATTAATAATTTATGTTTGGCTTTTCCGTTTGTTAGTGAATATGTTATTATGCCTAACCAGTGTAGGAACACTTGTAAAAAAAATGTACTCGTATCTAGATGAAGATAACGATAAAATACTAATAAACTATCTAGATAAAGATAAATGAACAGTGACTCTAAAATTATCTAGATAATAATTAACCATATTTTATTTAGATAAAAACCAATATATTTTTCCAAAACAATGTATACGTTATTGGATGCTGTGTACTGTATTGGATGTAAAAAAAAAAAAATATATAGAAACTGTCAAACTAATGTCTAATATACTAATATCGATGATGAAGTTCAATTCGATTCCTTACATAAAACATTTTTTTTTTATTCTGATTGAATATAAGAATTTTGGGATTCTTATACATGGAAATAGTCTTCCTATATTGATACATAACTTAGTTATAAGTAACTAATTTTAGATTCTGAGTACAAAGAGAACTGTGTATTGATTTTATTATGGTAAATGTGATAATTTCAAAACATTTTTTCAAACAGAAATCGTATTGAGAATAAACTTATAGGAAAAACGGGAAAATGTACGGTAATAAATTCTCATTATTTCCGTTTTTGTTTTTTACCAGAATTTTACTCCAAATATTTAAGTAAAGTATCTTTCCCTAAACAAAATCTCGTTTAGCTGGTGAATAAAAACTATTTGTCAGTATAAGTACTATTCTTCTACTTTTGTGAATATAATTGTCTGGTCTCAAATTCATCACAAGTTGTGTTTGATAGTAAAACAAACATGTGGAACATCATGTAGTCTTTTTTTTTTAAAACCTTTTTTTTGTGGAAAACCCTTTGAAAATCGTATAAATCACGACATTCCACATTCCACAACGCGTTTAATCGAACTTCACTTAAAACTGTATTTCGTTAGCAGTGATATATCATTCAACTTACAATAGCGGTACATCCATCAGCAGTATCGACTTTTTATTTAAATAAAAAACTAATTTTCAAGTTTTAAGCTAATAAATGTCAAGCTTTAAAAAAATACATTTATACGGAATAATTTACCTGGATAAATTTATCTAAATAAGACCATAAAAAATATTAAATTATAATAAACATCAATTAAACAACTCGGAAAGATAGTCAAATCGAAAATATATAAGCAAGTATGCCAAGTAAGTTAAGTATGACATCTCCAGACACGTCACATCGTGGTCCGCGTACTATAAATAAGCCCGAGTACGCAATTGTACGTGAAGCACATTAAGTAAGAATTCTATGCAATAAGCCGAGAAATTAAGCCGAGGATACGCTTATTGTTTCATTGTCAGAATAGCCCCCTGGGACCACTGCGATCCACTATTTGAACCAATACAAAAATTATACTGCACAAATTGGAAAAACAAAAGAAAAAGACTATAAGCCTCAAAACAAAGTTAGTGTCTATTGCAATTGTTGTACTGAACATAAACCGTGAGGTGCTGAGCCCCCACACCCTCCTTAATCCTTAATATAAATATAATTCAGTTACCAATTAATAATTTACGAAAACAAAACCCTACTTTATAACTCTATAGCAGGCTCAATGTTTGCTCGCATATGCATTTATTTTAGGTTTTACTATGATAAAGAAGAGTCAGTATTGTACATAATTTTTATTCGGTAAGGACTATGTGGATAAAATGTTTAGACTTTAATGCTTGAAAATTTAACAAGACTTTAACATTAAAGATCGTTATTTGTGCCAAAAAAAAAAAAAAAGTAGTGTAACATAGATTATTTTTAATAAGAGTTTTAAAAACAAATTTCAACCAAAATCGTAAATATTACGACCTTTCAAACCGATCTATAACCAAACTCCAATCTGAATCGTTTTTCGTTAGCCACGGTTTATCGTTGGCTGCAATTATAAATTAAATAACTTTATGCATCCCACATTCCCAACTACAATCTACAACAGTGATCGCACCCGTCCTCGATATTAGCTCTTTTTTTATTTGATATGCATTTAAAATAAAGATTTTAATAGGAACGCATTTTGACAAAAATGTAAAAATGAACTATGCATCGCATTTCACTTTAAACAAATTATCCACTAGTTTGAGAAACGATGCAAGTCCAAAAAATGGTACTCATTGAAAAAAAAGACAAATTATTTTACACTATCAATGATATCTGGCGATAGAATTGGATACACTCAATGTAAAGTACTCGGTGAGATACTCAATTTAAATTATTTAAATATTAAAAATTACCTCGTTGTCGGCCCGGGGGACGCGTTTGAAAATTCCGGAATGCCTTATTTCTAAAATAAAAGAGGATGACCAATATGATGGGTTTGTGCTGTTGAATTATACCATAGGTTCACATTATAAACTGTACTTATATTTAATTTCAATGTACGCACAGGCAACCTAATCAGGGGTGTTTATCTATAATACTTTTACCTTGATACGTCGAAAAAAAAAATAAGACAGATTACTTCAACTAAATTATTATACTGTGATGAAACCGTCTTCAAATCAAATCATCTTTTTTTTTTACTTAATTTTAACAAAAAATGGCACGTCTTTTTATAACGTAATGCATTCCACATGGGCTAACTCATTATTCAACATTTTGTGACTCAAGTCGTTTCTCACATAGGTGAAATCGAAATCATAGGTGCACTAAAGTTTTTGAAAAATTATTCGAGGTACAGATTTGTAATTTCGTGATTTATACGATATAATAAGGTCTCGACAAAAATGTTGCGAAACATTTATCCCTAATCGGTCCCAGATTTACCGGTAAAAATATTGCACAATCGTATCGAAACTAATGTAATTATAAAGTTTAAAAGATAAACATAAAGTATTTGAAAAAAAAAAAAATAGATTTTAAAACAAAGGCAAGTAATTTAACGTGTAACACAACCACAACCAACACAATAGTAATTATATAGTATCTCGAATTTAATCGTGTATAATCCTACCGCGTTATAAATCACTTATTGTTAACGGAATTTGTATACATCGTGGATTTCGATAATGTATTATATTATTGTGCAATTGTACACCAACTTAAGTAGTTTATCTTAATAATGATAATTATTATTATTATTATAACCGCTGCAGGGGGCATTATATTTAACGATATCACGGATTACAACATTCGCAAAGGCTAATAATAATTAATTCCGTCATAGCGGTACGTGCAGGATTACCGTGGTATACACAAAACTGGCATACATAAAATCATCGGTATCCAGAAAATGTTTCGGTAAATTTACGAAAAATTACCAGTTTCGCCCGATTATTACGAACACTGTTTGGAAAATCGGAAAAACCCTACAGCTTTGATGTATCAACTACATCCAAAATGCACTGAAAAAGGTCTCTTGTTATTTTTTGATTGGAGCGAGATTTCTGGTAGGAAAAGTTGTATACAGATTACACAAAAAGAAAAAAAAAATACACACACACTATAGTGAAACTAGATTAGCTTAGCACATAGCTTCTCTCAGAATCTAAAATTGTAGTTCACATGAGCAGCTGGAGATTTATATGATCACAAAATTTTAAAACACACTAAATGTTCTTGGGAAACTATCATATTATTTTGTTGTTAGCCATGTACTGTTTTTGTCGTGGATGCTTTATCGAGATGTCCAAGATTGCCGACCCAATATAATACTTAACAATAAGTGATATTACAGAGTATAGTTAAAATGACAACAATTAAATTATATTTCTAACTTAAGATTCTTGACACAGCTCGCAGGGTGTGTCGCACATTCTACACACCCGTAGCCATATCTGAGTGATCCATTTATCGTGATCAAGTGGGTTTTTTTTTTCAATCATTATATGGAATCGATCAAGTTTTATTTTTACACAATTTCAATAGGTCAACCATTCTCTATACACTAGAAATGTGTAGACACTTTGGATTTTCAAAATAGCAACTCAGTCCCATTTTAAACATAAATTTAAATACAGAATATTGTTCTGAAAATGTAGATTAATATAACACTAATATCGGATTAGTGTTTATGAGGGTTATAAATTATAACAGTCTGTATTGTAGAGTTAATAAAGTTTTATCATCCAGAAATGGATATGAAATTTATTACCCTTCTGTATGCTTTCGGTACAGATTTAAAAAAATAGATGATTCCTTTTTGAAAATCAAAAGTTTTAAGTTATTTAAGGTATAATAAATTGTTTACCCCTTGGTTAAACAATAGAAAATTGATTATCAAAAAAGCTTCATACTAACCTACTATTATGACTGAAAAAAAAACGGAAAGCAAAATCACCTAAAATTGTCTCAAAACTTGTTTTTTACAAGTGAATCACACAGTATACCCCGTAGATACTTATTATTTTAGATTTAACACATTTTGTAGTTTTGGAAAAAAATGCAAATTTAATATGAAAAAATTGCTCTGTTCATAATAAATAATATGTTGAGTGTGGTGATTATTTACACAAACGTCTAGAAAGATTTGAACTCGTTTGAAGAGCCAATAGCAAGTTAATAAATAAAGTAAACAAAAAAGACCCAGGACCCGCTGTGCGGATGTTATTGCTCGTTATAGAAAACATAAAACAGAACGCAATTCATGATTCGGTTTATAACTTCAGCGAGAAATGAAGAAAATTCGTGATGTTTACAATGCTCCTTGACGGGGCAACCAGCTGAGGAAGAAGAAGATGCAGTTTTTAAGAGAGAAACGTTATTTTATTAGTTCTATCAATAATAAACAACACGAGCGTAAAACGAAATTTCCAAGACCGAGGAAAACTATTGACTCCAAAATTGTTTACAATCACGATTTACGATTTATTTTTATTTATAATTAGATATCTGCAGATATAGGTGGGGATAGTTTTATTTTCCTTTTATTTCTCGCGGTGTGTGTTTATTTGAAACTCATTTACTAGGGGGTGGAGAAAGTGAACTGATATTATGGATACTTAAAAAACAATATTATAATCTATAACTGAAAATAAATTTTAAGGGAGGGAGTGGGTCCAACATCTATTTAATATATATTATCGGTATTATAACATGGTTAGTGATGTAATATGTATAATGTACACATTAATCGATCTTGTGATTTAATAAATAAAAGCTGAAAGAGGGAGGAACTTTTAAACCAAAACTAGGTATCATTTTTGGGTTTAAAATGTTTTTAATGCCTATTTTTAGGGTTTTTTTTTAAAATAATTCTCAATTGCTATTTTATAGATATTAATTGCATTTAAATCTGGTCCATAGTTATAACATAAATGTGTATGTTTTCTATGTTTACATTTTTAAGCCGAGTTCGAAGATTTTTAAATTTTAACATTTCGCATGTTCGTAACTGGTTTGACCAACGTGAAAATCCAGAGAATTTTTTACCTTTATTTATGTATGAAATATACGGGCAAGCTCTTTAAAGAATAATATTATTATTGAATATCAAGAGAGAAAAAAAAAAGAGAAAAAGGTATAACTAAATCACAGTTAAAACATGGATACAAATAAAATAATACAAATTAATACAAAATATCTGTTCAGAACAGTGTGAGCAAATAAAAGTTAAAATTTAAAAAGAAATTAGATATTAAAAAGTTAAAGGTCCATATTGGCGTTAGATAACATACTCCTGATCGGCTCATTTTTGATATAATTAATGCTACTTAAGGGAACGTTGGACCTAGAGATAAAGGTGGACCTTAAAACTAATCAGGAAAAGCAATATAGTAAAATCAATATCACCAGCTAAAAAACCTGAGAGGAATTTGCTCCCAAATTGGCGTTGACGCTCAGATAAAGGAGATCGTCCTCCCATAATTTCTAAATCACACCTTCGCCACTAGAATACATTGAATCGTATAATCGATAATATAATACCTGCAGTAGCTGCAGCCTACCAGACGATTGGTTTTATAAATCAGACCTAGATTGATATCGACTATCTGTCGTATAGACGACTCGAGGGAGGGGATAATTTTTCCTCTTCGCCTTTTTAATTCCTTTTGAATTGTATGAAAACATGCGGTGGCTCAACAATATTAATGCCGATACCCACTGACTTTTAGAGAAATCCCCTCGCCTCTTACGTTTTTGTGATACGTACTACCTATAACTTTAAAATGCAAAATTGTTTTGTTTCGTTCGATTTGTTATAACACTAAAATTTTAAATGGTTCCAAAAAATAAAAAATATTCTTTTAGAGTAGGGAAATTTCTATAAAATTGTTAATCTAAAAGCTGAAGTTGAAAGTTGGTACAATTTTTGGTAAAGTCGGGACTGTAGCCAAGATATGAAATCTGGTAATTTTTTAAAAAATAGTATGTGTATATTTATCTTGGAAAATAGTAGCCGTTTCGGGCATATTTATATTGCGAATCAGCAGAACGTTATTGCGTGTTAAAACAATAGATAAAGATATAGACCGAGTGTGTGAGTTCATTATTCAATTCAGAAAAATACCAATGCACTAACTCGATTCAGTAGAAAATGTAGAGATTACAAAACATAACGTTTTATAGTGTATAAAGTTAAATACATAATAACAAAATAATAATATTTTTCGTAAATTTTCGACTAATTATTTAATTATAGTTTTTAACTAATTAGTTAAAATTATATTAATCCTGTATATATTATTATATAAATATATTGCGTCCAATTTTTTATTGACGTATCAAAGTTTAAGGATATTAAAAAAAATCCCCGGTCATTTATTTTGAATTTACTTTTGCATTCCCCTTCCCGTTCTACCGGATAAAAATCTTCAGATGCCAATGAAATACAGGTTCGCTATTATAAAATAAATTCAAAATCCACAAAAAACAGCATAAAAACGTCAGAAAAGTCCTAAAAAAAAATTTAAAAAGCAAGACTAACAGAGAGCTCAGAGGGGTTTAAAACATTCATCGCCACCCCCAATAACGGCTTTGAGCACTAAATGCAATTTTCCGAACCTACAAAAACGATTAACATACAATATATGTTTTATAATACTTACAATTTTCTTTAAAAACTTGTGTTAATTATTTTTGCAGGGTTTAAAAATTGTGTTTTATAAGTTAGAGTCGTTAAAGGGAGGACTTTTAAAAACATACCTCCATTCTTTGTTTTTTTTTTTTAAGTGTAATTTCAAGCTTTTTTTTGGATTTTAAGTGCTTAAAGTCCCTAGCCCTGATAATAATAATAATAGACAGTTTGATTACAATAATATTGCGGTATTATCGTAACAAAATATAACTTCCGTGTAACGGTTACCGAAGGGACCGGAAATAATGACCGTACATAAAGCAAACAGTCCGTTAGAGGCATAACACTTGACGAGACCAAAAAAATTACTCTTAAAATATAGAGGTGACCATTAACGGAATTTTACTGCATTAAAATATTATAAATACTGTTTGCAATATTGCGTCTATGAATGATTAGAAATGATTATTATAATTATTATTATATATGCTCCTTTTAAAAAAAAAAACACACCTGGCTGTACAAAATCCGGTGCAAACTGCTTGGCTGTCTCTTTTGCGATATCGTGATCTTCTCGAGCGTGGTCCGAAGCGATGTCGGACAATTCTGCTTTGCCTCTTGCAGTGGCCATACTGAAAAAGAAATAAAATATCCCCGACGCTATAATAATATTATCGTTCAGGTACACCGGAATATAATAATGATAATGTTATAATTTTACACTTTTAATCCAACATCGCCAAACTGGTAAGGCACAATACTATACTCGTACGATCTTTTAAGCATAGGTTATATTTCAATCCTTATATTGTTATTATACGCATATTTTAAAATTGGAACGATTATGTATCAGCGAATCAGACGCATATACAAGTTGACTCGCGACTGATTAGCAGGTAACCTATATCAGCGTTTCTCAAATGCGAAAAGATATTAGGAGGTTCATGGGAAAAAATAGCATAATGGCGGAAAAAGTGAAATGTACTTGATTGCAATGTTTATTGTTATTTATGAAATATTGTAAATATTATAAATCAGTTTTTCATTATACAATATACATATTATAAGTGTATAATAGGTATAATAAGAGTACATTATTATTGTCATTTTAGATGGCGGTACGTATACACTAAATTTTATCTAATTTGATAGTGTAACGTGGCTCAGGGGTCCGTAAAACAGTGGTGAGAGGTAAAGGAGTACATGCAGTGGCACCCAAACTATATTCAGAGCTTTTGTGACGGGCGATGGTTTTGAATTTCAAATTCTGCTGTACCGTAAAAATATAATTTTGGGTACAACAGCAGGGTATGCAAATGAAAAGAAATTGAGAAGCATCGGTCTGTATTATATTATTACGTGTATATGTTACGGTAAAAACATTAATATACATGCGTTTAGCAGACGGAGAAAAACCGTAGACGAATAATTTGAAACTTTTAACCGTAAATATTTGTTGTACTACGATAACCACCCGAACGCCACTGATTCAAAAACAGGTACCTGAGTAATATATATCATGTATTGTGGCGTTAAATTTTATGTTATTGCAAATGTTCGTAGTAGGCAAACGCCAGGTATGACGTTATTAAAAATTTAAAAAAAAACCCGACCTAGGGTAACCTTTATTATAATATCAGAGACCATAAAATATAGGTACTTCTAGACTGGCATAGGGTCAGTTATACGACGTATAGGATTCATTAGTTTTACATTGTATACAATAAATATTCAAATTAAAATATAATATTGTTATGCACAATATTTTAGATTCTAAGAGGAATGTTTTTTTTTTTTTTTAATTTGTGAACAACTTTTCTACCAGCAATTTTACTCCAATTTTCATCTATAGCACTTTCTTTGAAAGAAAATCTAACTTGGGTGGTACTTTAAAGAGATCTTTTTTTTTTTATTTTCCCAAGAGTTTTCCCAATAAATCGAAAAAACGCGGTGAATTTGTAATTTATTTAATAGAAGTCGATCTTACTATAAATCAGTACTATATTTTAACTCCTCACACCAACCCTTCCGCCAAAAAAGGTGCCGAATCTTCGCCTTGTCCTTGAAAACTTTATAATTTGAATTGTCGCTGTTGTATTGTACAGTAATATGTCTATACATTATTATGTGCTCCGGTTAATTCCGACAGTGTTTCCTTCGTTCTTTTTTTTCTTTATTAAAAGTCAAACAGACGACTTAAAAAGTGAATTTATTTCGGTAAATACGAAAAATAAAAAATCAAGGTTACCGAACGTCGACTATATACAATGTAAGCAACGACGACGTATATATATACGTATATACAGGAATACCCAACTACAAAACGAAAGGTCGTGTATTATAATATATTGTATTTTTTTTTTTTCGACTTTTTCTTCTTCTCGTTCGCCTTCTATTATTAATTTCGTCCAAAGAATTCGGATAGCAGCAAACGACCATTGTAGTGCGCGATTGTAGATTACATATATATATTTATATATATATACACACACGAGTGTATAATAATAATATAATGTCGGTAGGTATTGCATTTGTGTTATTTTCGTGTTGTTATATTTAAACTTTTTAGCTACTTTCGCCATTCTCGGATCGAAATAAGCGCGCAAAACCTAATCTGTCGTTGAAGAAAAGAAAAAAAAAATACAAATAATATAATAACCTTTTCCCGTCGTCCGTCCTTCCGACCGTCGTCGTCGGATACAGCGTTTTCATTCGCGTATAAATATATATTTTAATTATATTATATTATTATATTATACGGGTGTATACCTGCAGAACAAATAGCATTCCGATCGACCCACTCGCTTTTACCCGTCCTAGTAAAAGATTTTAATATCGCGTTTGTGTTATTATTATTATTATTATTATCGTTAGTTACTTTACGGGATTTTATTAACTCGAGCGAACAAACGACCCGTTTAAATGGCGATATTATCATAATATACTCTCGAACAATATGCATAGCTTTTATAACGATTTAATAATAATATCTCACAGCGTTTTGTGTAATTAATATTGTTCCGGACGGTACACGCGGACGACGCGAAATTGTTGGCGTTATTGCGCGCTTCGGGTATTTCGGGGTGATGGGGTGGCGGCGGGAGGGTGTGTGACACGGGATCGAAAAATCTCGGCCGAACGCGCGGGGTAGGTATATACGGTAACATTGTCGTTATTATTGTCGCATAGGTACTCGAGATTGCTTCCGGAAACCGCGCACATAATATGGTTTCCGTCCCAAAAAGGTCCGTAGACAAATACCGCACACTTCGTCGGTCGACAGCTAGGTACATTGTATGGCCGAATGCCGCACACTTATGGTAGTGTAAAACCGTCCGTTAATGTCTCGTGTATGGACGCATTATTGTATTTATTATTTGTTACGTACAAAAGCTTATATCTTATCGTTGGTTTTTAAGTATTCTCGAACCGTTATTCGCCGGTCGAATTATGATTAAATCAAATTGGTATTTCATCTAAACTTGACAATAAATTAATGATAAATGGTCACACCAACATTAAGTATTTTTCCGCCATAGTTTTCGACCGAAACAAAAACATATTAGTTAATGGGCACATTTTAATATTAGTGATACATCATTTTTTATAATATTGTGTTTAAATGTCTGGAAGAATTTTCGAATGACGCAGATCGTTTAAAATTTCTAAAAAAACATCGACTCTCGCCACTTGCTTAAAATTTTGATAATTTGTTTTATTTAATTTTAAATTGCTTATATTTTATATTAATATTTAATAACACTAATTAAGATATAATTAATATATTTTTAAATTAATTATTTATAAATAATAGATTATACATTATTATAAAAGGTGCGATTTTTGGATATAACAATTTAAAAAAGTGTGCGGTTTTGTCCTGTATTTTATCGCAAGAGTACGGTTTTCGAATTCATCGGTACTCGAGAGTCGATAGGACGGTTCGTATACGCTGTTCAGCGTTGCGCCGCCGTAAATCCGCGAACGCACATACGACTCTCACAGGTTTCGAACTTCCGAGAGACTTGTAGTGTACGCGCCGAACCGGAACGTGCGTTTCACCCCCCCCCCGCCGTTTGGTCATATCCCGTTTCGCCGCATAGTATGGAACGGAGTATATTTTTCCCCAAAGACAAGAATTATTAATTTGATATCAAATTGCACATAAAACATTATAGTAATACCAACGTATATTTTTTCAAAAAAAAGTGAAGTTGAGAAATTGTCTGTTTTATATGAAAACCACTGGCATTGGTGAGTTTATTTTGTTGTTTACTTGGCTGTATTTTAAAATATAACTGTATAGTCAAATACCTTTTAATAGTTAATACTGTTCTATGAAAGTGAGAACCGAAGTTCGAAAGATCAACGATTTTTCGTCATGATGGATCACTACAATAAATTATGATTTACTTTGTATATGTTATGAATCGGTTTAGTTAGAAATGATTAAACATTTCATTTGGCTGATATACATTAAATTTTTCTCTATATCCTTGTAAAAATACAAATTAATGTGCATAAAATATTTAATAGTATGATAAGGGGTTATACTGATTTAATTAGTTAATTTTAGTTAGTTAATTATGATATTGTATTTATTGGTTTGCGAGTAAACTTGTAGTATTAGTGAAAACATTAATTTTTCTAAACGTTGGGTACTCTGATTTTTTGGAATTTTCGGATTCTTATCTTGTGGAGAAAAACAGATCTATTCCCGCATAATATTCATAAATTATTTTTGTTTACAAAAACATAGTTGTGAATTTGCGAATATAATAAAAGAATAGATTACAGATAGACACAGTGAACGATTTATCATTTAAAACGATTTTAGTACTATATGCTATCTGAAGTAATCGATTGATAAATCTCCGATACTTATTACATAAATAAAATAGAATGCGTATAGTGTATCGTGGTGGCGATAACTGCAAAGTCGATAATGCAGTCAGTACGGCCGGTATAATAGCAACTATTGTACATACGTTTCTACACATCGAAAAGGGGAAAGTAATATTATGGTTAGAAAAAAAAAAATTAACTTTTTTTTTCGACCGAGTATATTTAATTTTATTTTACATCTAAACTTTGAACTTATCGAGTTAAATTTTTTCTTTGTTAACTTTTAACTTTTAACTGAAGGGAATTTAATTGAATTGGCTTAACTTATAACAGTTAATTATTATCATTAACTTGTTCAGTGCCCACCTTTGGTAATTTGTAACCTATAAGTTATACCTCATCATTGCTACCCCTTGATACCACGTGGGCTCTAACGGCGTCAATGCGTCCCGCGGTTAATGCACCAACTACTTGTAAACAAATGGAATTCCTTGTATAATGTATTCTTCTAATGGCCTACTGATAGAGTGACATGACGGGTAATGAGCCACTCGCTTATAATTCTGAAGGCACATAGAGAAATATCAAGAATCATAAATTTAATTTTTTTTAATTTTACACGGTTATAATAGATTTTTTCTTATGATTAACATTTTAAAAACGTTTAAATACGAAGTTGGTAAACAAAACGAATACAATACATATCAAAAACATTTACAAGTGAGATTTTAGCTGTGAGATCAACTCTTAAAAATAAAATAAGAAAACTTATTTCAATACAAGATCCTGTTCAGCTTTTAATGGTAAAAAAACATTACTAAACAATAAGTTTTCCAGAAGTATGTACCGCTCTTTTATTATTTTTGGCAATTCCTGGTAAATCTATCTACTGCAGACGCGGAACTGTCTTTTTTCAAGTTAAACAATATTAAAGGAGACATAAGAAGTGCACAATCGTTTAAACGGTTTGGGTATTACTTTCAATCGAACAAAAAACAGCATGAGAGGATTTAACTTCGATAATTTTATTGGTAAATTTGCTAAAGCAAAAGGAAAAAAAAAATGTTGATAAAACTGGCCAGACATTACTTAGACTTAAATTAAATATTTAAAATTTTCTCATTGCCTAGTTAACTAAAAAAAAAAAAAAAAATGCTCTCAAAAACGATCTAGACCCATAAATAACTGATATATAGTTGTGCGGCCTAACCAAATTAAAATAAACACCATGAAATTACAAATTTTTTCAAGCAAATTTCCTTAATTATACTTAAAAAAATATACCAACTACTTATACTTTACTTCATTAATCTTCTTTTCCTTCATCTTCATCTCAACTATCTGGGATCAGCCACCATCATCCTTATCATATTCACTTAACCCAAACCCTCGCATTGTTCTCACACACACCCGCCGTCATTTAATAATATTTATCTCATAATTCGTCCCAATCGCATCCAGCCACCTCTATTTACTCATAAGTTCTTTTTCATTATATCATTCTTACTGCTTCCGATTCTTCCTTCCATGAGCAAACAATCTCGATTTATTTTCTCCAGTTTTGGTTTTTGACGTATGCCACGACTTATGAACACCCGTTACTCATCCTATCTTCTCTCGTCGTTCCACTCAACTACCTATGCATTCTCATCTCTGTTATACTCATTCTCTGTTCTGTTTCCCGCCAACCGCCTGACACTCGACGTGATATATGGAAATAAAACGCACACGCACGTCATAGTATAATATGAAACGGTTATAATACACTAGTATTAAAAAATACCGGCAATGGTAAAGGAGGGTCCCATGCCCCCATCCTCTTGGTTACGAGTGTATGATCTATGCAATAGTATTATTATTTACTATAATATTGCGAAACTCAACTCGATTACATTATTGTCACAACCCGCGCAATAACCGTCGGCGATAAAACTTACCTACCGACGACGACGACGTCGACGGGCAAAATTATTATTAATAAACACTGTTGTTCGGAGTCCCTTTTGAACCGCTATAAGCAATGAACAACAAACAGCTAGTGTATAAGAGGACGACATCAAAGAAGAATAACCTTGTACCGGTACCGCAGTTATGATATTATATTATATATTAATTTCATAATTACTATCAATTTCACGAACCCCGAATTAATCCCCTTAGAAATATAGCACGGTTCGGAGGTGAACAACTTTTCTTTTACTCGTGTATTTTTTTTTTTTTTACGCTTTGTACACTAACCTACGCCGATGTTTTCTTTGAGAGTTTGTCCGATTTTCCTTTCACTTATTTTCCACCGCGCCGATTTTACGATAACGATGTTGTGCTTTTGATATTTGACATGATTTCGATAGAGTACCTATATACGTATATATTATATACTTTTATAGGCGTATATATATATATATATATACATATAAGATCAAAAGCAAAACGATATCGATATTAAACAAAAATAATATCGTTGCACGACGCCAAAAGTATTATGTTAAAACTATATATAACGTAACGTTTAATACTTGTTATAAAATAAATAAACGTTTATAAATTAACGGTAATAACATAGACAAAGACGCGAAATTGGTTATATACTTTGCGGAGGTTCGAGCTGGAAAGGAAAAAACGGACGGACGGAGGATCGGGCGCGAGACGGGATAGTATATACTCTTAGAGGCCAATAGAAATCGGAGAAGACGCGGAGAAAACGATAATTATAATTAAAACGTAAACCGAAAAATAACAGTAATAAAGCCGCTGGGCATAATAGGTGCTTCGTTTCTGAGGGAATTCAAAAATCAATCAAAACGAACGCAAAATAAAAAATTATAATGGCCAAAAGTTCAACGTGCGCGCATTTGTGTTGTTGATATTGAAACTAAACGAATCTGTTCTCGTATCCGCGAGTAACGCGCGCGCCACGGATTTTCTTCTCTAAAACCGAACGTATCGAATGGTTTTTTTTTTATATATTTTCAAAAAAAAAAAATGTATTCTGAATCACAGATTTATAATACAATGTTACTAAACGTATTATACGATTTAAAATATATTTCATCGATATTATATAAGCTTACCTGAAAACCCTATACCAGAACTAGGTTGTTCGCTATTTTTGCAGCCGTCTGAAGAGCAACTAGAAGGCACTATCAATTAAATTAAAATAGAAAATGTTAAAATGTAAGTTAGCTGTCCAGTATTTTATATCTGTGGACTATCCGAACTGATACGGATGATATAGAAAAAAGTATAGGTGTATTACAGAATCGTCCTTTTTTGGAAGTTTTTCGAACCTAGTGACGAGGTATATTCTGCGATCGAAATCGAGACGGACAGATGGACAGGAAAAACAAACATACGCACATCATAATATTATCATGGCAAATCCAATACGACCAATCTCGGAATAAATAAATAAAAAAAATGTATACACATATACAAATATTATTTCTATTTTCTAGGTAAATAGGTGGGTTAATAATTTCAAGTCTTTGTATGGAAATGTCAATCACGTGTCTGTACGTCGTGCAGCCCCCGGACTATATAGCGACGGCGACGACATAGATAGACGGATTTTCATTTTTATTTATACGTACCTATATGTATTTTATTTTATTTTTTTTTTTTTCATATGTCATGACGTATACGAGTTGGCGTGTAACAAATAACAAAAACTGCACGCGACTCGAGAAAGAAACCTAACCTGGGAGACGAAGTTCCGCAGAGATTTTTTTTATGCGTATATAATATATATTGGGAATAAAACTGATATAATATTATATATATATATTTTTTTTTTTTTTTTCAAAAAGACGCATTGCCCACGAATACATGTAGAGTAAAAATCCCGGTTTTCATTTATTAAATTGTTTTTAAATAAAAATAGAACTGAATTTATGTTTTTTTCTTGTTTTTTTGCTCCGCACAAAAAGCATCGAACAAAATATATTACTATCGCGACGACTCCGGCTGAATTATTTCCGTCGGTCGCACTATACGTTGTCGTCGTTATATGTCGTATTATATTAGTCGCAACTTCCCTTGTGCGATATTCTTTTAACAGCAAAAAAAAATAATAATAATAATAACACTTACAATAATAATGCGTATTAACGTACGAAAAAAAAAAAAGGAAAATAAAATAATAATAAATATTATGGAAAATACGTTTCCTGAACGTCTGTATAATAACGTGAATTTTATTTTGAGCATTTTGTATTTATTTTTTTTTTTTTTCCATGCACTCTAAAAAATATTATAATGTGTACTCCCTCGCGGTTGTTGCGAATCATCTAAGCTGATACGTCGCTGCAGTGCCTACACGACCTACTCGACGACGATTCCCACCCTACCATCGCCGGAAAAGAGACGAAAACCCCGCCGCCACCATTCGATGCACCGATCGCAAACAATACGGTGACTCTCTGAAACTATAACGGATTTCCCAAACTACTCGAAGTTCGCAGAGTTTGGCGAATTATTATTCGGGGTCAGGCCATTCGACCGCGAATATTAATATTACGGATGTATATGTATGTATGTAGTTTGTATACATTATTATATCGAACGTAACCGCGAGTACCGGAGTGTATAATATACCGACCAAACTACGGAACGTCTGGAAATAATGACGAGAAAGTACCACTTTGTAGTTTATATTATATTACTTGTATAATATTATATATTTAACTGTGAATGTCCGCAGTTGGCGAACGCTGACAGTCACCGCGGTTAATGTCGTCGTATGCCAAAGTCGTTGGCGAATGTTGGCGTATTGATTAAATTCGCACTATTTGTATACATTCGCTTCTCAGCGAATGTTGACATTTATGCAACGATATCGGTGAATGTTGTTAATACCGATAATATTAATGTTTTCTTTAAATTCAATCTACGGATAACGCAAAGTCATAATAATAATACTCGAATAGTAAACATACTACATAGCTAGTACCCGTACAATATTAGGTTTTGTACAAGTCGGTAATTTTGATAAAATGTATTATTATTACCTTAGCTGACTATTTTTATTATAATATCTGAATAACGGCCGCGCTATGCTGACTCGCTAACATTTAGCACGATATTGTCATAATTCAACACAGTTATACGATTGAATTGCACAGTAACCAAAACATTTAAAATGGAGAATATACTATATATATTTATATTAATATTAATTATAATATTTTATAATACATTTAATAATTTAAAATCTAATAAAAAAACACAATAATTCTTTTTTTCTATCGATTGAAAAATATCAACTTTAAAGTAGTTAAACGAAAATTTTTTCAATGGTTAACATATTCCTAAATTTAAAATTAATCAAATTCATCGATAATTGGGCGGGCAAGGGTAGATACAAGACGCAAAACAAAGTGCACCACAAAAAATTGTGGTTGTAAAAATGTTGACATTTTATGTGACGAAAAATGTCATGACTGTTTATCATATTGAAATAAGTAGAACTATTTTCCCCATTTTTTTTTTTAAAAATAACAAGTTTTTTATGGTAAAATAATCATAACTAAAATTAATGACACACATATAAATATTGTTTAATAATGATGATTCATTGATACAATTAAACATGTTCTATCTATCTATTACAGTGAAAACTCTTTTGAACAAAAAACTCTGTAACGTAAATATTACTTAATAATGGTTAGTTTGCTTTATAACCCATTGCATTAAGGAATTGATCTTCTTTAAAGCGAAAATCCTATAACAAAAGAAATTTCTTGGACCCTTAAAATTCGTTATAAAGAGTTTCTACTGTATTTTCTATAGTCTATACTAAAATATGTACTTATGTCTACATTGACCAAAATCCTGATGTAAACATCAGATCTGAACAATTCAGTTTGATCATTGATCCTAACATTCACTATTCATAGTCTACAATTTTTCAATTTTTCAACTTTCACTAGATGACTTTCAGCATTCACCAATTGCGGACATTCACAGTAATATATTATATACTATATAATAATATATAAAGACGTCGAATTATTCATTTTAAAGTTATTGGCACATTTCCAAACGGTTTTTGACATTTAAAACATATAGCAGTCCGTTATTATAAAAACTACTGTATTGGAAAATCCAATGTAGAATTGTGAAATAACCAAAATCCAAAAACGTTCTCGTAAAAAAGTATTCTGAAATAACTACGGGTCGAATAAACATTTTTAATTTTATTGTAGCGCGATTTTCGAATCCACAAAACCCCGAATAAAAAAAACTTCATTCGGGCGTAAAAATTTAACACGTTTTAAAGTAAAGTAATCGCTAATCAAATATATGTATATATATTGACGGTAATGAGCATTAGCACCAATAATGTAGTTTTCAGAGAGGAACAAACTGGAACTAGTGGAATTATGTTTTCAAACAGCCATTTAAAAATAAATATAATATGGATTTGAGAACACAAGACTTGTATACGATAAGTTATGTTATATTCATCAGTATAAATAGGGGAGTTTTGAGACTTAGGTTCTTTTTAAAATCAAGTCCTTATGAAGTAAATATTAAGTGTACCCGACAATAAAAAAATACATTTATATCTTGGCAATTTGTGACTGTGGCTTATGCTTTAGATTTTGATAATGAAAATCCATTACGAGACGGTAAATCTAATAATCATCTAAGTTGTTATACAAAATAAAAATATACTATTACGTGAGTTATTACTATATAGCAAAAAACGTAAAACTTATGCGCTACGCATTTATTAAATGAGGTGCCTGTAGTACAAGGTATATGAGTTACATTTTTTAAAAATCTGAGTTAAGTGCACAGCTGAACACTACAAACTTTTCATTTTATTTTGTGTTAAAGCAATATAAATGAAATATTACGTCATACGATACGCACGTAAGACTTTTTCAGCAACTTTTAGCGATCATTTCGTGTAGACACCGTCACCAATAGTGGCGCGTTTGCGTTTGGTTGGGTAAGAGAAGGTCGGGATACGGACGACAATAATAAAATACAACGGGCGGGTCGTTATTACGACCGAGGTCCTTCAGTTTTCGACACGGTAGAAGACATAATATACCGCGAGGAGCAGGACGAAATGATCGGGGAGGCTGAGACAAGAGCCGACCGGCTGAACGAAGACTGATCACAACCATAGTCAGAGTACTAATTGTACGGAGGCAAGGACTGACTTAATTATCCTAGTCCTTAGACCTAATTATTTAGCCGCGTGCTCGGCCGTCTGACACCCTCCGGCACGATGGTCCAAGGACCACGGGGACCTTGTCGTCAACCCGAGGTCGTATGCAGAGGTCATACCTAAGTTGTCATTTTATTATGGGACAGTACTCGCTGGTCGACCGACGCCTCAGTATTGATTATCATATTTGAGTTTGACGCGAACGAGGGAAATCAGTATTTTGTAATAAATCACGCAATAATTGTATTTTATTAATAAATGGTGACGGCGGCAGTGTAAACAAAAAAATAAAACAACAAATATCGCTCGGTATTTTCGCGGCTTTGCAGTGCGAAGGCAATATAACAAGGAACTCCTCGGAGTGAATTTTCACGGGTCACTTTTTTTTGGGTCATCGCCGGATGACCTCACTTTCTCGATCCGCGGGGGCGGTGTATGCTTTTCTTATTACGCGCCGAGAACACGGTTCGATAGTGTGCGTCACTATCAAACCCAAATAGTCGTCCGTGGCTTGGACGCGCCAATCAGACGATATTACGATGTTCGCTTTTGCGTAATGTAACGCAGAAAAGATACCGACGACAAATCGGACCCCGAGATTTCCGGTGGAAAAGTTATTTGCGGACGGACATGATCGGCGGAGGAAAAGAGGAGGAGAGTGTGGGAAACCGCACTGCCGTGACGTTATAAAACCAATACGCATTTCTCGTCGTACTCTGAATCAAAAACAAATATGAAATATTTTTCGCGGCGATGTAATATTTTTTTTTTTCGTACCGTCAACGGTGAAGACAACACTTCAGTAGAAAATATACAGTAGATGAAGGTTGATAGGTATAGGTGCAAGGTAGGTAGGTATCGTAGGCAGCCACGATAATAATATTATTTCAATAATAATATGCATATATATAATGATGTAGGCGGGATGTACCTGTATAATAATAATACCTATTCGAGTGTTGATAAAATTGACTTTTGACGAATAATATATAACTACGTCGTATTCGATATGCGCCGAGAGAAAAGTAAAAGTGTATACATTTTCGTCGCAAGGTATCTTTGTCCCCATCCCGTGTTAAAAAAATTGTTTATTAATAATATTCGACGTGCCCATTCGTCGTGTTATTAACATAACAACGCGGCGACACGATATTTTTCATATATACAAAATCAGCACGCCGGATATAATGTAATTTATGACTTTTATTATGTAATAATATTATTATTAATAATACGGAATATTATGCATATTATAATATAACATAGAGATCGGGTAGGAGAAAGAGACACAGAGGTATCTGGTATACTATACACACATAATATAATATTATATTTGATATTATTATTTAAATTAGTTCTATTGAACGTTTTCAATGGTATACGCAGGAGATAAAGTACAAGTGTAACACCGTCCTGTTTCCGTGGCCACTACCCGACGAAAAAAAAAACCACCTCGTCTCCTTTCGAAAAACACGATTTTAACGAAATTGTATTCGATTCGTGTAACATTTTATTATTATTATTAGGTATTATTTGACGAGAATACTCTCCGTTATTATCAATGCGATACGTATAAATATATATATATTTTATAATACGCGCGTAGTCTTCTCTATAAAGAGACAACAACGAACGACCGAAAAAGAAAAGAGAAAAAAGTAAAAAAAAACCCACCAATATTCGTATCGTGGGTTTCTTAAGTTCGGGACGGTTAATTTTTATTATTATTATTATTATTATTTATTTAATTCCACCCCCCTCCCACAACAAACATATGCCATTTCGATATCATAATATAAAATTCATAATACGGTACGTGTGGACATGGTAAACAAAAAAACCAAAAAAAAAAAAACAAATTATAAAAATAAAATAAAAAAATTGTTCACTTTCAAATAATATTTCATATTTTATAAGCCGCGCTTTTATGATACACCTAAAACTGACTGTGTCCTTCGATAAAGAACTGCACTACTTATGTTTTTGCCAGTTTTTATATTTTCATCGGTTATTTTGTTTTTGACGATTTTAAAATTCAGTCATCCCTCGATCCATCGATATTTAGCCGTTGTCGTGCTCGCTTAATTATACGGGATTACCATATATACATAATATATAGAGTGATCAATCTATCACAAAACACTCATTATCTCGAAAGTATTAATTTTTCCAGAATCCTTTTTATAGAATATATTTTAATAAACAAACAGCTTTACGATTTACGATACTTTTATTTAATTTGTTGTCACCTTCATTTTCACGGGTAACACCACTATCTACTTTTGATTTTCAAACTCCACCTATATTAAAAGTATTTATTAACATAAATTTCGGGTGTTGACATTTTTAATTTCCGTCAATCCGTTGATGGGTTATTCCACATTTAAGTTTGGATCAGTGGAAAGTTGTGGAACATACATCATTTGTGTGACGTCACGGTGCGCTGAGTTTTAATAATGTTACTCTCCCCCGATCCATACTTAAAAGTGGAATATTTCGTTAACCAATTGATGGAAATTAAAAATTTCAAAAACAAAATATATTAACTAATACTCCACCTGTTTATAGAATTTTAAATACAGGTTGCCATTTGAAAAGCAAAAGTAAATAGAGGTTTTACCTCTACAAATGAGGGTCAGGTGACATAATACATGTTCTATAAGACGAATTCCAAAAAAGTTAATACTTCCGAGATAATATGTGTTATACGATAGATTGATCATTTTGTATATAATTGGACATTGAAAGAAAAATCTTTTTTTCCTCACACCTCAAGACGACTATATGGTGACTATAAAATGGCTCAGAGAACCACCGATCTGTATAAACTATAATATTAACGTACAATTACCACTTCACTTTCATCCTCACCCAGCATTTAAAAATCGATATTTTTCTTAACCTAATGGTTAGTGGATACTAGTATTAATGATTGGGGTGAATAAATAGTTTTTTTTTATTTTTGAAATTAAGAAATTCAATGTGAGAAACGACATAAATCGATATTATACTACGCACAACAAAAACAACACAATTACAAAATTGTTCGGAATACAAATGTTACTGAATTTAGTATGTCGTCAGTCACTTCGAAAATGTGCCCATACAATTTTTTTTTTTATAAATCAACCCTAAGGTTGATTTTGCAGTTTTCCATAGATTTTCCACTTATCTCTATCACCAGCTAGCCTCTTCAAACCCTTGTAATGTTTTGAACCTGTGTCAGTTATCACATTTTTAATATACGATGTATTTTTTACATTTATTTTCTTTATTATTTCAATATACAGAGGTTTTTTTTGTTTTTGTCTCAGGACATGACCAATCATATTCTATTTTCTTTCCTTAATGGTGTTGAGTAACTTCCTGGTTTCTTTTATTTCGTATAATACAATTTCGTTTGTTCTTCTTTCTGTCCAATTCAATCGCAATATTCTTCTCCAGCACTAAACCTCGAAACTCTCGAGAAACTTTTGTTCTGTTTTAATCAGTACCCTAGATTCAAAACCGTATATTGTGACACTCCGTACATGTACTTTTATTAGCTGCTTCTTCAGAATTATGCACATGTTTTTAAAATACAGTCGATTTCTTTTATTCATGAAAGCTGTTTTTGCTTGAGCATCGGTTTTATTTCTATCCTACGTTTTCCTTCATGACTAATTATACTACCTAAATATCTGAAACTTTCCACTTAGACTAGAGTTTGGTTGTCGATTACAATTCTTTTTTTATGAATACTGTCCTTTTTTGATACAACATTACCTTGACTTTTTTCTAGTTCATTTCATCAGTTCAACATCTAGCCATTTCTTCCAGCGTTCTTTTCAGGTCGTTTTCGCTATTAGAAAGAAGAGCAATGTCATCAGTAAACCTTAGGAATGATATGAATTCTCCCTCTACAGTTAAACCAATTTCGTCTCTAATGAATTTTTCTTTAACTTCGTTTATAGATTGTTGACATTAATATTGAATAATATTGATGAAAGTGGTCACCCTTTTTTTGTTAACTTTTCTAATTTTAACTGTTGCGGAATTGTTTGATACTTGTATTATGGTCGATTGTTTTTTGTATATGTTATTTATTATCCGTTTATCCTTATAATCAATACATATTTTATCAAGGGTATTAAAATTTTTTTTCCAGGGAACTGTGTCAAAAGCCTTTTCTAAGTCAATAAATGCAATAAATGTATCCTAGTTAAATTCTATCTTCTTTTCGATTAATATTCTTAGGCCCAGGATTACCTCTCTAGTTCCCTTGTTTCTTTTAAATCCAAATTGATTGTTACTTGACTTCATTTCAATCATTTGCTCTATTCGGTTACTAATTATTTTTATGACTTTACCATAATTCACAATAATTGTAAAAAAGAAAAAAACAAATTTCCAAAATGCGATTTGAGATTTATTAGATTAGAAATTAACGACAACGTTTGAAAATCGTGACGATTCAAAAAAAAAAAAAAAAAAAATGCATACATAATGTAATTCTTTAGTGAATGTTATAAAGTCTGGAATCAAAAACTGTTTTCAGAAGAGAAAACAAAACTGAATAATTACTTACAACCGTTGATTAATTATGTCCTGGTTGATAATTAATTTAATTTAATATTCAACATGCCTACATTAATGTTAACTATTATGTAGACATTTTTAAGTGATTTAATATAGTTGAATTTTTATTTTTTTATAATAATAATTTATTTTTTCAGTCAAATTACAATTATTATACACTTTATTTTTCTTATTATTTTTACGTTAATTTTTGCCCTTTTCATCACTGAAGTCTTTTATTGGTGAAACTAATCTGAACTACAGATATATGCAAATAAAAAATAAAATAAAAATGTATTTTCTTAATAAGATAAAAATAAGAATTAAAAATACAGAATAAATTTATTTTTTTTTTATTAAATATAAATTCTACGAGATTTTTCTTAAATCATAAACTAAATGCTAAATTTAATGTACGGTATTTAATTAAAGCAACAAAAATAAGCATTGTTTTGTTAATATCTTAAATGAGTCTAAGGATTTATAGTTTTTTATATTATAAAGTTCTTTAATTAGAAAAGTGAGTCCGCATGGCACAAAATATCGACTTTCTTTGCTAGATTATGTTCGAGGTTTTATTAGGTAGCTTTCAGAACGTGTATTGCAGTTATTGCATGTATAATTTATCGTTTTAAGTTTAAATATTATGTATTCGAGGGCTTTGCTATGGTATAATTGTTGAATATTAAGTACATTAAAATCTTTATAATCATTTTAATCTTGATCTGATGGTTTATGATTTTTTAGTTATTTTAATTATATTTTTTCTTGCACTATTAATACCGGATGATCCATTTAAGTGTGTACACTTCCGTCAATGGATCGACGGAAATCAAAAATTTCAACACTCAAATTTATTTTAACTCATACTAAACATATCTATGGAATTGTTAATATAGGTTGTCATTTGAAAATCAAAAATAGGTAGTGGTTTTACTTCTAAAAATAAGGGTGACAAAAAAATAAAATAAATATACAATTGTAGAGCTGTTTGTTTCTTAAATGTTCTAGAAAACAAATTCCTGAAAAATTTAATACTTTCCAAGATTTTGAGTGTACCAACCCCCTAAATGAATCACCTGTTTGATTATTATTTAATGCAATACTCAAATGCTATATTAAATAATAGATTTTACTATAGTGCGTAATATGTTGTTTTAAGTACGTAATTATTCAAAAAATTATTTCGCTGTTAGATGAAAATGAATTAGTTTTTGTAGTCTGGTTGTAATGTTATAATGATAACTATGTTTTATTTTAAAATCTTAATATCTTAAGATAATAAGACCATTTGTAAAATTATGAATCTGTTTGATTCTCAACTCTTTACTAGACATACATGTCTTTTACCTAATTATAGATATATAATGTGACTTAAAATGTTTAAACCAAAACAAATTTTATTGATTATGAGTTAAGTTACGGGATTAATACCGAAAGAAAATAAAAGTTAAAAAAAAAAATGAGCTTCAAATAACATCACAAGCCGAAAATGTTAATTTTTTACTTAAGATCTTAATACCGTATATCAAATAATACGTAAATATATACAGTATACATAGTTACATATACGAGTATATTGTTTTCCCACGAAACATAACGGAATTATCGTCGGAGATGAAATCGCGTCCTGACTACATTGTATTATAATTATTATAAAACGTCACGTATTTCGGGACTTTTTCGATAAAAACTGCGCGTTTTGGACCCGAAAAAATGTTAAGAACGACTTTGTGAGGTATACTCTTTATATGCGCGCTATTATATTTTTGTCAGCTTTCTAAAAATATCATGCAGGATATGATGCCTGTGTGTATATAACGCGTTGCGGTTTTTTCCACCGCAATAATTTTCGCAATAACTCAATCGCGCGTTTTAATTGTTAATATTAATCGTATATTGTCTTAAAATACGTATTTTTATTGGACGTGTACGCATGCGTGATTTGGCCGAGAAATACCCGGCGGAAGTTCGGGTGCGATATTAAATGGCCTCGAGTGTTCGTGACAGCAGATGACGACTCGCGTAACAGTAATGATTGTGTGCGCGTGCGCGTACGGCAGTGCCGACTCCGTAGGGACAAATGGGGGAGTAAAATACCCGAAAATATCCGAGAATACTCGACAATACCCGAAAATAACCCACACGTTTATTTTTTAATAGTATCGAGGTAGGATATAAAAGGAAATTTAATTTATATCGGTGCACAACGATAAACCGTTTATTTTATACATTTACATATGTTGTTCTTAATTATTACGAAAACTGTTGAGAAAATAAGAAAAACTACCCATTTAGAATATCACCCAGATAAAATTGCAACTTTCGAAATAATTAATTGCTTCTAAATAACGCGCAAGATTTCGTCACGACGATTTTCGATTCGAGACGATGCCGGAGAAACTGGATTTTTTGTCGGGAAAATGCTTTTGATATTATTGCACCTATACAATATGAATTATTATTATCCGTAAACTTTAGCGGAGCGTGAATAACAATAAACGTCTGTCTTGTTATTTTAATAATAACAACAATAGTAATAATAAGCCCCATCGTCGTCGTTTTCGTCGTAGTCGTTCATTCCTCTCGTCACAAAGCGGGAACGAGAAAGTTTGTCGACGAGAAATCACGGTAGGTCGTGTATATGCGCGTGCGGTCGACTCGTGGCCAGCTGGAAACAATAGTCTACAGAGGACAACAATCGTAACATTGACGGTATTATCGTTATTTTTATAGTATGGTGTCGTCCGCATAATAATTTCTGTCGTGTTCGATATTTTTAAGCCCCCCCCCTCTCTTCCTCAGCCCGTCCCATTGTAACAATAATTATTGCACTAAAGCAGCTCTAGATGTTGCTAACCGGTCAACACCTGTCGGTCGAGAACAATATACAAACAGAAATCTGAATTTGAGTTTACGAGCAGCCGTTTTCAATATTGTATACCCAGGGTAGTTGTTTAATTTTCTCACGAGTTTTTCATAATAAATTGGAAAATTTATTACTATTTTCAAATCTTAAATATTACGGATTTTCAAAACATGTATAACCAAACACCGTTTAGAATAGTATTTCGTTAGCAATGGTTTATCGTTGAAACAAATATATACATTAAATTTCCCCTCTACCCACACAACTTCACACCTACAACAATCGGACTACACCTATCGTGCGAAGTATGTCCATTTATTTATTTTTTCTTTGATTTTTTTTCTCTTGTTTTTATGTAAAAAAAAATAATAAAATAATGATTTTAGATTGTTTGCACATTAAAATTAATTTAAACAAAATATTTATTATTTTATACAGTGGCGTGGCATTCGTATAAGCATTGTAAGCGTTGCTAACACTTTTAGTCATAAAACATTATAGGTATATTTTAAATGAAAACCATGACCAAGTTCCAATAATGCAAAATTATCTATTACATTTTAAAATTTCGGAAAAATATAAGGAGATGATATGTAAGCAACTTTCAAATGTGTTAAACGAGCAATCATCGTGATACCAATAGCATGATGCATTTTACTACAGCGTTGGTACCACCACATACGACACTACTACACTGTAACTCTCATCATCACTCACTGACTTCAAAGTATTATTATTACATGATAGTGTTTATTTTTAGGTTAATTATTTAAATCATTTTTGATAATATTTGTATTTTTTATAAATGGTGAACTGCTTTCTAGAGGTAGTAAAAATAGATTGAGGTATAAGTAGATATATAATTTTTGGTGATTGCTTGCCCCACTGACTACACCCCGCCATGCCACATGATTATGTACACCCAAACTATGATATTGACTGTATTTATAAATATAAATAATATTCCTGAAATTTAATTAAATAGAGGTCGATTACCGGAGAATTAAAATTTTGAATATTGCTCACTAGTTTGTAAAGATTGACAACACCTGCACTAAAGCTCCGTGCTATGATTCGTCTGTTTTATGCTGTTTTTGTTTTTTTTTTCTCAAAAAAATTGTTTCTGAAATCCAAGAGAGCCCATTTATGTATGAATATATTATAAATATTTCAAAGCAAAATATCGACGTTGCAAACATTGCAAATTAATGTCAGATTAAGTTGAGTTTCTACAATTTTTGTTGGAGTTTAGTGTTCACTACGGCCGATACTAAAAAATATCGATCGACTCCCCGTATTTCCCAATGAAAAATAATATTTGCAACTTAATGGTTCATGATTAATAAATGTTTCCAACATAAATTGGGTTATCTTTTCTATTTCTATTTTTTTTTTTTTTTTAAATATTTGTATTTTTAGTTAGTGAAAATATGTACAAAATAAATGAATCATTGCGCAAGGCTTGACAATAATTGGATAGTATTATTATTAAAAGAAAAACTTAAACAAATTGAAAATAACAAAAATTATTTCCAATATTCTGATTCGTCTAGATTTATTCATCTACAAGTAGATGAACCATCCACTTAGGTCGATTTCTATCTCGTTTTTTATATAGTGCAAAATAAATTGTCTGAATCAATAACCAAAACATATAAATGAATCGTCAAGCAGTGGTGTTTCCGAGGGGGAGGTTAGGTTTAATGTCCACTCCCATTGGTTTAAAAATACAAACAAATATGAGTGATTTAATATAGAAATGTATTTGTTTCAGCCAGCTTTACGAGGAAAAGCCTGATGTATTATTGATTATAAATTTGCTTTTATTTTTTTTTTTGTGGTATCCGGCTTTTAAATTATCAATTCCCATAGCCAAGTTAGATAGAGAAGACGACTTTACAATATTCATTCGCGTTGTTTGTTATATCCCCTCCGATTGAAAATTCCCGGGCACGCCACTGTCTGTAGCCTAGATACGTTTTTCTAAATGATTAGTATTATTAAACTTTATCGATCGCGAAATCTTGTGCGAAATCAGTATCGTATCGTGTACCACGCGTTAGGTAAACTTTTACTACTTTACCAATCATTAGCAATCCATATTTAATTAAGTAACGAACAAATTTGTTACCTTATCATTTGTTTTGTTTTTATCCGGATAAAAATTTCATACGACTACTGGTTAGATAATTTTGCAATTATTAACCCTGCGGTACTGCGGATACCTAATATTATTGGACGTTTCCGTGCATCGTTACAATTAAAATATATAATTTCTCTACCTACTTTGAGAATAGTTTATTTATTTTTATAGGCTATAGCCATCTGTAATTAGTATCTTAGTAATCTTAGTAATTTGTGTTTGCGCATTAAACACTGTTTTTAATCCTTTAATGGTTCAGTAAAATAGTATAGTTCGTTTATGTTTAAAGAAAGACAATCTCCATGGGTCTACTCATTTGAATTATAAAGAATTTAACGCATTTTCGATTAATTTGGTCTGCAAAAAAAAAATGCCGTAATGTTTGTTTACAAAAAAGCAAGCGTTTTCTTTTTTAAGCGTAATGTTAATCTCATAGATTATTTAATATTAAAATGTTTTACCAAGTTTTGGTCAAGAATGCATAAATTATATGGATCCGGTATATTGTATTACTTTACCAATTGATAATAAAAAATATTTTCTTAATGTAAATACTAATAGTAAAAAATGTATCGATAGTGTATTATTTAAAGAAATGTGTAAATGTTCATAATTAAGTAGTATTAAGACTGTATTTCTATTTCTCCAATTTTCTCTTTTTATTATTATTATTATTATTTATAACTTAATTTAATTGTTTATCTCGCGTGTACTATAACTCCGGTTATACCAACTCAAGCTCTGCTTAAATGCGTAGGTAATATTTGTTATTTTTATTAATACTCTGTGTGATATATAGTATTAATATGATAATGCATTTTTTCTAGTAAAAAATTATTATAATAATATACGGTCGACAAGAGTTTTTACTGATTCGTAATAATATTTAAACGACGCGATAAAAATTCTATTATTATTATCGTTATTTCGCCTTGATAATATAATAATAATTATTACTGTTGTCGCAATACGGAACCGCGCGTCCGCGTGCAATTAACTCTCGCGGTACCCAAAAGAATAATATTATCATTTATTATTCGTTCTTTCCTCTCGTCCCACTCGTCCCCGCGCTAATCGCCGCGACGCCAGACTTTTGTCGCGAGCACGCCGTTTGCAATTATTATTTATTTATAATAAGCAATACGAATTATCATTATTATTACGCTTATAACAATATTGTTATAATATATTGCGCGCGCGTACAAATCGAAATAAAAAACAAACGGACGTGCTTCGCGCACGATGGGTAGGCCACTGTTGTAGGTGAGAAGGCGGGAAAAAAAAATCAACGTCATTGTAAAATCAGCTGCACTACATTTCCAAGCTCCCTTTAGATTCTAAAACACCTAATGATATAATAGCCGTGTAAAGGTCGTAATAAGGTAAACGTCGTAAACTATCTATAATATTGCGTATATAAGATAGAAAGACGCCCTTTGATATTATTATTATCATTTCACGTTGTTAGTGAAAATTTTGCGTGGCGATGATATAAAAATATATATATATATATATAATTACAAACCGATTTTGAACTCAAGAAACGTCGCGACGATGGTCCGTACAACACAATAATTATATTTATTCGGATTTTTTCCCTTCATTTCTGTTTTTTTTTTTTTATAAAGCCCGTTAAATACGATAGTGTATAGGTGTCTGTAATTGAACGTAATTGTGCGGAAATTTAACGCTATTTAAAAAAAAAAAAAAAACAAAACAAAAAAAACAAATAAATAAATAATAATTCCGTTCGGTTTAAATAACGTAGCGTCTATTACCGATATCATAATATTATTTACTATATAAATATATATAGAGGTACCTCTATAATACTGAAAACACACTATTATATTCAGGACCGATTAAATTTTGTATTTCCCCACCTACCCCTTTCGTCCCGTTTTCCTCCGTAGCAATTATTTCACTTTCGATAAAAAAAATAATATTTACGTATCTATTATATGTATATACATAAAAATAAAAAAAACACCGTTCGTCGACGAAATTTGACGAATATTAGTTTTTGACGGTGCGGAAAGTCGTCGTGGCTTTTTGTATTTATTTATTTTTTAAACGGCGTTGTCAATATCGAATTGGTTATGATAGATTTCAAAGACCGCTTGGCAGATCGAAAAGGAGCTTTTCGTTTCACAGCCAGCAGCCGCGATGACGGCGCGTGGTTTTTTTTTTTTTTTACTCAAAACGGTAATGCTGCACACAATAAAATCGCGTGGCAAACGTCAAAACCTCAATGTGCAAGTCTATACTGTAAACAATTACTCCCTCAGGTATAATACGTGACCTACGCTTTAACGACGGTTTTTTTTTTTTTTTTGTTTTTGTAAACAGCGACGACCGAGTTTTTATCAATGGTTTATAACGTAAACTGTGTCCAGTTCGTTATGATCGTATTTCACACTTTAATACAACTTCGGTTAATTTTCCGTTCAAATTCATTAAAAACACTCGCAAAAATATTGAAATATACGGCACGCGACCGTATAAAAATGACGCGTTTGGTAAAACCATATTAGTGTTTGCGAAAATACCGACATGTTATCAAATAATATGACTACACGACTATTATATTGTGACAATGTCACTGCGCGCAGCCTCGGTCCGCTATCGAGTATCTATCGATCAGTCAAGTTACGACGGCTAAACAATTATAATTTATAATTACGCAGCGTTCAATTTTGTGAAAATATTGAGTTGTCGATTTTTCAAATTTTACTCCGGCACAGTTTACATAATGTATCATACCGTTTTATAGTTATTGATAAAAACTCGGGTGCAGCTTACATATGAGGCGCCTAAAACACAAGGGGTATAAGTGACATTTTTAAAAAGAAAATCTGAGTTAAGCGTTCCGCTGAACCACGAATGTTTATGGTAAAGAAATATAAGTGAATTATCCGTTATGAATATTGCGATCTAGTATCAAATATTAGATCGCACTAAAATGGTCTTCATATGAAAATGTCATAATAACATATTATTGAATGCAAATAACTTTAAACTCGATTTTATCAAAATCAATAAAATGTCACCCAAGCTCCTCGTATTCTAGGAGCCTCATATACGATTTGGTGTTAACCCGTACCCCGGGTACAGTTTAAAACCATTCCACCCACCGCCAAAAGCGAGATACTAAAATACTCGCGAAAAACCAGCGTCCCTTGCAATATTATATTGAACTCGAATGACAAAGTACCATTTTCGAGACATTTAGTATACGCACTGCAAAACAATCTGGCAATTTTCCGGTGATTTATAATAATAGTCATTCGAATTTGTCGAGTTGTTTTAGGCTTTTATTTGGTTTCGCGTGATTAAAATCGTTGCGGCCCACTGAAAATGCTCGAAAACAAAACGCAAGGCTTATCGCGAGTTTTTTTGCTTTTTTTATAAGCATACATATGTACGTATGTACATATATATATATACGCTGTAAAATTTCTGCAAAATTAGTTGAGGTACGGAGGACCCTGCCCCCCAATTCGTACACTAACTCTACATATTGTACCTCTATAGTATCAAACCCGTGCCAAAAGAACGGATTCTCCAAACGGGGTTTTTTCAAACGGTCAAATCGTAAAAAATATCAGATATTGATAATCAATTCTATCCAATTTTTCACTAAAAATAAAATGTGAAATCAGTATTATTAAAAAAAAAAATGCGCCCACAGTCATTGCTAAATTTAAATAAGTATTACCTTTGCTGTTAATCATTAAACCGTAATAAATTAATCGAAAACCGTCCGGAGCTTGAGGACGTGACTGGAGAAAAAAACACCCGCAATTAAAGTCTCGGTTTCAAAACCGTGTATATTATAAAAAAGACGGACAACCTTTGCACGATGGTTGGGCCACTGTTGTAAATGATTCGTTGAGAAGGTATGATACAGAGGAGAATTTAATTTATATCTGTATGCAACGATGAACCATTGCAAACGAAAAACGATTCGGAGCGAAGTTTCTTTTATATACGTGTACGTATATTTTCCAAGTTTTTCGGATTATTTTCGAAGCGAGTTTTCTGGTAGGAGAGTTGTTAAAAAGATAAAAAAAAAAAATAAAAATAAAAAAACCTCATTGTATAGCCATAAACATTCCTCGCTATACGCTCGGAGTTTAAAACTTATTAATAAAGTTGTTGGTATCAAAAACAGCTGCGGTGCAAATTTGGGAACGAAACCGTCTATAACGAAATTTGATGTCTGCATTATTAACTCTTGTATGATAACCGTTTTATAAAATATGGGCACACACGCCGCGCGAATGTACTTTGAAAGCTTTGACTTCATGTATTGATTTTATAAGCAGAACAGTAAAATCTCAACCTTCTTTTCGGTTTTTGGTGTTTTTGACGCTTCAGACTTCATATAATTATAATATTATATGAAATATATTTGTGTTTCAGGGTTGGAACGTATAATAAATTATTAAGTATAAAACACGTATTATACTGCATGCAATTTTTGTTTTTTTTTTTTTTTTTGGCTGTACAGCAGTTATCTGATAAAACAACTTTCAATTGATATTGACATGTGATAACCACAGACATTTAATCATCATTGTATATAATATCTCATATCTTGTAACTTATATTAGTTAACTAATATGTAATATGTGATAATCTTTGTTGAGAATAGATAACGGAAATTGCATCTAGATAAGATACAGATAATTTTATATACATTTATCTAGATAAGTGAATGTGTCATCTATGATAACCAATATGTAAATGGTACATTAGTTATCTAGATAAGATAATAGATGAGTAATTTTGTGTCTAGATAATTCTCAACACTGGTGATAATTTGGTATATTAATCACTGAGTTCAAAAAACTAAAATTCACCCAAGCTGATGCTATTTGTTAATTTGTTATAGGTATATTAATTTGATTAGTTTAAATACTTATTAAAATTTTAAATGTACAGTATTATAATCACTATTGTAATAAACTCCAAAGGAAAAAATGCATATAATTCCTTGTGTATTGGTCGTTATAACGTTTTATACGTTTTTTTTTTTTTTTTTACGTGGGGTATTACAATATTATGTGTAACGTATAAAACGTTTTATACGCGTATATTACCAACCCCGGTTTTTTTAGTTCAAGCACGGCGTATCTCGTATTGAAATACTTTTTTTTTATTGCGGTATCGAGTATATTTTTGCGATCAAGATTATATGTATATTCGAGAGATTAGGGTTTTTTTTTTTTTTAATATCCAACGAGAATATCAATCGGTACGAATAACGTTAAAAATTATACATCTAGATATTGTAGGTTTACGTTGCAGTTTAATATCGATTAACGACTTTACAAAATATTTACCTTTATTTATATTATAATACTATTATTACGTTTTATTTTGCACTTTTGATCTTGACAAATGTAGATTGCTACGCCATCATAATAATATAATTACAATTATTTCATTCGTTATTATATTAAAATAAGTATTACGGTATCGTACCTATACAGTTATAGCTGGTACAACAAGATATTTATCGGACTGACGTTGAATTATGCAAATTTAAAAAAAAAAAAAATCAAAAGTATCTTATTGTATCTTTGATTTTTTTTTTTTTTTTTTTAAGTTCCTTTCCATAACCCCGGGTATTCCTATGCATATTATTTATAGTTGTAAACGGCGCGTGTCTTTCTCCGCGCGTTTACTCTAACAAGTGGATAAGAAATAAGTATAATCGTAATTCGCACTATCAAAACGATAAATTGCGCAGCGACTCGAACAACTATGTTTCGGAAAAAAACGAGTAGAACGAAATTGTACACATTTTTAAATATACCCGCGCGAAACAACGTGGTATTATAATATTATTATATTGTGTGTTTCATCTATCGTCGAAGAATTTTCGGATTTATGTAGTTATGAATAAAAGAAAATATATATAATATACACTTTCATTAAATAATATACAATTTGTATGGTTTTTATTATTTTTATTTCGTTTGAGTCAAAATACTTTGCAAAAACCATCACTCACTATACAGGGAAAATTGTTAGCGGTTTTAACATGTTATTATACACAAAGAAAATATTATACAGAAAGAAGAGAAATACATAAACCATATTATGTAAATATATCTGTGACTTGGTGCAAGAAGGGCCAATGTCACATTTGAGTTTGTTGGGAAATGGGCTTTGACATTTTAATCTCCCATAAGGCTCTGTTTATTTTATTTAATGTAAATGTTTATGTAATTTTCATACAAACTTAACCAATTTTTATTTAAATAATAAATAAGAGTGGTACACTTTTTCTTTATTTTTCAGACGAATTTTTTTCATAAATTGTCATTGGCCCTTCTTAAGCCACAGATATATAATATATACATATTATATAATGTATTTTTTTATTGCTCTATTTAGGTAATTTAAGGGGGGGAAGGGATTTTAGTTTTCTCGCTCAGATTCGTTTTTCGTTAACAACGATTGCTTATAAATGAAAATGGCATTACCAATACCAACAATACCAACCTTCCCAGTTCATTCCACTCACAACAGTGACGCACAGTAACGGTTCTAGTTTTCTAATTTGTTATAAAAATACAATTTTGAGAATTTAGGAACACTGATTTTTAGTACAAAGTACCACCGGGCGGAAAATGCTCAACTTTTGAGACGTGACATCATCAAAATTCCGAATATTTTCGTTTACCGAAAAATCTCTTCCGAGAATAATAAGCTCAGAATCCAAAACACAAATATTATATAACTGCTAATAAATAATGATAAAAATTAAAAGGGTAAACGTCAGAATGGATAATATTGTAAGGATTATCATATTTTCCTGTTTAATACTTCCAAGATTTTTCCCATTCTTGTGATAACGTATTTCCATATAATTATTATTATTTTTTTTTTCTCAACAAAAATGATATGATTTTTTAAGTGATATTTCCCTGGTTTTTTTTTTTTTTTTTTTTTTTAACAACATTTTACTTCTGGGCTATAATGAAGTTCCCTCCCATCCTACCGTCAGACGCCAGTTCAATTATTGTTTTAAGAACAATTCCCATAATATATTTATTAGAGCATTTTTTTTTTCTTTCGCTTTTTGAAATCAAACATGTAACCGCACAAACTGTGTGTATATTATAAGATGATAATATGAAGAGTAATATTTTTATAGAAACGAAAAAAAATAAATTTTCATACGATTGAAGTGAAGCTGCAAATAATACGACGATACACGTCTTATAAATTGTCTTTAATCATGATATAGTATTTAAAATTTTCGTTACACCGAGATACATATACAGTGTCCCACGGTGTTCTGACACACTTGAAATAACATGTATTTATTTTTTAATAGTTAGTATGCCTATGCGCTACATTTAATACATTAACGTCTCCGGTGATTGAAAATTTGTTTAGATTTATGGTCTTGATAATTTTTTTGAAGTTTTCACAAATGTGAATATTAATTTTGGTCAGTAATCTATTGTAATAAAATATTCAATCAGTAGTCAGTATAGAATTATCATATACGATATTATAACTCACGGGAAAGCAATTCCTTCTCATTTGATGTGCTTCGAACACTTATTAAATGTTATTAAAACATAAATTATATAGACCGTAATTATATTATAATAAATTGTTTATATTTACGAAAACTTCAGAAAACTGTAGAAAATAAAAAAAAAACTATAATACTCGCGATAAAAAGTTTCAACCGCTGAACAATTTCCAAACATCTGTTTTACAAATGGCTATTTTTAATTTTATTAAAAAAAAAAAAATTATAGTAAAATTGTTTGTTTCAAGTTCCCCCACCCTCCAAAAAAAATAAAATATTTGATACATAAACTGTAGCGCAGTAGCACACTAAGTAATTCAAGGCTTGACATTAACGAGTTTATAAGTTAAAGTTAAGTTAAACAGTTAAGATAATTTATCTTTTCAGCTTTATAAATTAATTTTTATTGAACTACCAATTTAATTTCTAACATGAGGAATACGAAAGAATTAACTTTTAATTGATTAAAGGTAATTTTACATTTAAACAAGTCAAGTTGATTTCAAACTGTATTTTTATACTCATAAAAATAAAATATATATTCTTATTATCGACATTTTAAAATACTAATTATTATATTATGAATCCCTGTTATTTTTTACTATTGTCACCGGTTGGGCGTTGTAGGTATCAGTTCATTATATAATAGGTATTGAACACTATGTATGGTTTTTTTTTTTTTTTTTGGTTAACTTAACTCGTGTTAAAACAGTTAATCGTAACATTCGGTTAACTTCTAACTTAGTTGAATCGATAAATTATCTTGAATTGACATTTAGTTATTGAATTTGTTTAAATTTAAATTCAACTATATTTCCCAGCCTTGCTATAGTTGTTCGAAAAGAAAATGCACTACACGAATACAGCGAAGAGAACGAAAGTAATTTTCCACGGGTCAGGTCGCCGTATGGTGCAGTCCATAATAATAATATATAATAATGAGAGTTCGAATAATTTAATCGGACGCATTCGAAATTGAAATTACAAAACCGCCGGATCATAACCGTACCGATCTTGATATTACGCAGGCGATGCGAATCGCGCGTGGACGGGCGATATGGCGATTTCGGGGCGCGTTACCTCGACCAAAGGCGAAAAGTGCGGGCTCCCGTCGGTTTTCTACGGCCACCGCGCCACCGTCTCCGGTCGGGATTAAAAATGTAGAAAAAAAAAAAAAAGGCGAAAAAAAAAACGTCGAACGTAATAATTTCGTTACGCGCTCGAGGGCGACTTTTTCAAAAACGAAAAACAGATGGGTAGGTAGTCGCGCGGTTGGATATTTTGGCGACGGCGCCGCGACCCGGCTGCCTTTGCGCCGATAATAATTTCGCCGTATCGGTATTTTCTATTACATTGTTTCTTTTTTCTTTTTCTTTTTTTCTGAGGACGAAATAACGAAAACGAGAAAAACAGACCGACCAACGGATTTTTACCCTTTCGACGCGAACATTACGCGTATTATTACGTTCGTATTTCAGTTATTTGCATAATATTTCGTTCTTCAAACGCCGACGAGCGCGCCCACACGCGGAACGAGGAGTATTATTCATCTCTCGTATTAAATATCGAAATACAAACGATTCAACAAACTCGCGCAAATACATACGCGCGGTCCGGCTCCGTTTAAAAAGCCGAATTTCATTAAAAATTTTACTTTATGTATATATATATAAAAAGAAATGAGGTTTTTTTTTATACTGCAGCAAACGAGAAATTCGGCGTTTTAAATGAAAAACTAAATTATATATATATATATTTTGTACATTTTACTCGTATATTAAAATCCGAGTAATAAAAGTGATGATTTTTTTTTTTTTTTTTTTTTCCCCAGTTACGAAATAGATATTATATAATGTAATGTGTAGGAATAACGTTTGATTTTGTTTCAAAAGGATTCGGAAGCGGCGGCGATAGGTGGGAGGCCGTGTGTTTGACGGGGTGAGGGGGAGGGTGTAGGAAGGGCGGAATCGAAATTATTATAATATCACGGCAAATATTGCCGAATCGTGTACGGGATCCTCGGGCCCCCGGGGCTGCAGAAAGGCTTTAGTCGTTTTTTTTTTTTTTTTTTTATTTGTTTCCCCCGTTTATAATTTCGTCTAACTGAACATTGTTATTTTCCCTCTTATAATGCGCGTACGGCGGCGTTTTTGCTAAATAACGCGGGTATTTTACAGTTTCCGCGCGAGCGACGCGCACCTTTGTCGGCGTGTAACCGTGTCTCGGAAAACTGCCGACGAAACGGACCGGGAGTAAAAAAAAAAAAATAACAATAAAAACCCGATCGTGAATATTATTATTGTAAACGGTAATAATAGTATGTTACTCGTATTGTAATCGGCGTTGGCGTTGCGCACTGCAGCAGGTGGGTGGTTTGTTGGCATTGCGAATATAATACTATATTCGCCATCCGGACGAGAAAAAAGTACAACCAAAAATTCACGAGTATATTTTACATTGACGGTCGTACGCGGACACCGTTCGATTTTCTGACGACGTGGATGGCGATAGAATACATGACATCACTAGTGGAAACTTAAGAGCATCGGTTTTTTTTTTTTTTTTTTACCTATAATTGATACAGCGGTTGTTCAACTTAGAACAAGATTCAACAGTTTGTGTGAATTAACCGCCAACAGGTTTAATTTTTCTCCACCCCAAAACATTTTAATGTTCGGTGAAAATGATATTGTTAAAGCATCTCATATGGTTTTCAATTATTTTACGAAAACCCGAGGACAAATATTATGCATACAAAATACGTTCAAGGTTACTCTAAAAACAAAATATGATAGTTGAAATCGATTGCAGTGTATTTTGGACAATGATATGGCTATCACTTATAACGATATAGGTACTATATGCATGTATAATTTTCGTAACATTACCAGTTACTGTAGCCGCTGTTGAGCGTTTATTTTCAAAAATAAAATTATTAAGAACTGTTTAAAAAATTCCATATCACGGGATCGTCACACAAACATCAGTATTTTAAATATTGAAATAAAATCGTACAAAAGAATTAGATATTGGTAAATAAATTAACGATTTTTCTGATAAAAAAAATAAACAACGTAATTCCTTGATTTTATTTTGTATATAATTGCGTTAGTAAAAAGTTTTGATAATATAATGATTATAAATGCGTTTATATTTATTCCGATTGCGCAGTGGGTTTTCGTTCGTTTGTACCTATCGTCAATTTTACCAACTTTATCTGTCACGGAATTCACTGACTAATTTAAACATTTGATTACCAAGATAAAAAAATGTGCACCATTTATAAATGTAATAAATATACCTATAATAAGGTTTCATAGGTTTTATTTTGTTATTAGTATGTAATATTTTTTAATTTGAGACATAATGATATTATAATATTATGTAAATGTTATTGTGCGGTTAGACATTTTTTTATTACATAATTAGCGGGTATCAAAGAAAAATGGCAAGCGGGTAGGACATTTTTGTCGGATACACGAATTCTCTAAATGCCTGTCTCCTGTCCGCCACTAATATTTATGTCTACAGTAAAAGGGCCTCTAAAAAATTTTTCAACCGGGGGCTCAATACTGTAGTTGCGGCACTGGCGAACAGCATAAAAGGGTCGGACATACTTCGCATGACGGACGGGCCACTGTTGTAGGCGAGACGTCGGGAAGGTCGGAAAACCTGGGGGGAGGGGAGAAATTCAATACAATTAATTAACCTTCGCTAACGAAAAAAAAAAAACCAATTCTGAGTGGAGTTCGGTTACCGAAGTGTTGCTATTTGTAACGTCATTTAAAAAATTATATCCTCTCCGTCCGGAATAAAATCATAATTAGACATTTTAGTTAGTACGCCCCTATATTCCTGTACGCCCAATTTCATTTTATACACTTATATAATAGTGAGTAGGTAATATCTAATAAATTCGAGAACATTACAGCGGCGTATTTGAGGGAGAGGGAGGGGTGGGGGCGACGGGAGGATCGATTATTTTTTGTAGGTATTTGCAATATATATACATATATATGTAGAGACAACATTTAACATTGCTATAAAAGTATCGTCGGACACAAAAACCTGTCCTAGGATAATCGGAACGGGTGCAGCCACTGTTATAGACGGTTTAATGCATTTATTCTGTGAGCAACAATATTAACCATTGCCAATGAAAAACGATGCTGAACGGAGTTTTGTTAATGCTATTGCTTTTTCAACGAAATCATGTTACGGTAAACATAGATTACATATGTGCATTATATATTTTCTTCAATAATATTTGTTTAACATTGTACCTGTAATTTCCCGTTTTCCCGTTTATTATGAAAATCCCCGAAAAAAAAAAAAATCAAATAACGACCTCCCATAAGTACTACTCCGGTCCGATTCACTTTTAGAAAATGTGCTACACTTGAAAATCAGAATCGAATTGCTGGTAGAAAAGTTGTCCACAGAAAAATAAAAAAATAAACAGGATTGTAAAACTAACACATCATTCGCTCCGCTCAGAATCTAAAAATTATAACGAAAAAAAAGTTTGTCGATAGAAATAAATTCGTATCGAAAATTGCCGACTTCAAACCAGAAGGGCGTTGTTTAAATAAAATTGTATTCGATTAAATAGTCGTTCGAATAAAAATGTATTCGAATAATAATAAAAAAAAAAAAAAATCGTTAATCAATAATCTAGATAACATTTTGCCTAACACCGATCCAAACTATTATACGGCATTTTTGTCTTTTACCGAAAAAAAAAATAATTGCAAATAATAATACTAGTCTAACTACTATACTGTACCGGTTTATTTCAATTAACAATAGCACTGAGATTCTTCTTGAATTTTCGCGTTGAAAAAAAAAAATTAACTTTTCTCGGTTTTATTTTAAATTCTAGAGAAATTGGAAAAAAGAAAAATCGCGAAAATTATCTTCGCGCGCCACGGTACACTAAAAATGTATACCTACGCATAATTATAATTTGCTGTTTGTGTCTATCTACGCCTGGATAGGCACTCGCGGATTATTATTCTCGCGATAAATGTAATAATTTTCGATTGATGATATTCGAGTAAAAAAAATAAAAATAAAAATCCGCTCCGATTTGTTTAACCTGCAAAGCGCAAAACTTATATCCATGCGTAATAATAATTTGCCGTCTGTATCTACGTACCTAGAATTATTCTCGTATCGGATATAATAATTTTCGATTGATATAAATAATATTCAAGTATTAAAAAAAAAAAGCCCGTCTCGACTCGTTCGTCCCGCGGAGCGCGAAAAACGTACACCTACCGATAGTTGTAATACTGTTCTCGCCGTTTGTGCGTAGAACACTCGCGGATTCTCGCGTCGAACATAATAAATTCCGATTGATGGTATACTATTGCACGCGTACGCGGGTAGGGGGAAACAAAAATTACGACTTTTTCGAATAAAAAACAGAAAATAATCCATTTCGATTAATTGTGCGCGTCCCGCAGAGTGCGAAACGCATACTGTAAAATAGTACATTTACGGCCGACTGCAATGAATAATTCGCCGTTTATGTCGATCCGCGGCCCGGACACACGCGGATTCTCGCCTCGAGTACAACAGTTTCCGATCGATATTAATATTTAGGTGGGTGAAAAAAATTTTTTGAAATTTTATCGGTGCCAGAGTGCATAATATATACACATTTATATATGTACATAAAGCTAATTGCGATGAATAATTTACCGTTTGCGTGCGGCCCGGACACTCGCGTCGAATATAATAATTTTCGATCGATAATATTATAATATAATATTTTTAGGTAAATAGGTAATTAGGTAATATATTATATTAGGTAGGTAGGAAAATAAAAAAAAAAAACAAATCCGGATTCGTTTAAATTTCAAATTGTATCGGGGTGCGAAACGTGTAACACGCGATAATTATTGCGGATCGTAAACCGTTCGCGTCCGATAACGTCGCAATAATTATTTATACATAATATAGGTACAGGCAGGAAAGACGGGGAGAAAAAAAAAAAAAAAAAAAAAAAAAATTGAATTTTATTTGAATGGAAAAATTTTCGCTAAAATTTTAACTCGTTAATAATTGACCGTTTTGTGGATCGCGCACGTCGAATTTTTAACCGCTGTCGTTCATGCGGTGCACTAAAACGTTTACGGAGGGGGGGGTGGTCGAGTGGCGGCGGCGGCGGCGGCGGCGGCGAGGGGAATCAATAATAATAATAATAATAATAATCGCTTTCGAATAATAATGTCATACCAAGCGGTTTTGCGTATGCACGAAAATAATTTGCCCATCGTGGTAGCCTTGGTGGCGGCGGCGGCGACGACGACGGTTGCGGCGGTGGTGGCGGCGGGGGCGGTGGCGGTGGTGGCGGCTGACGCGGTCGTGGTCTCGGTCGCGGTCTTGGTCGCGGTATCGTCGGGCGTCGATGCTGCTCTAATCGGGCCGCCGCGCGCTACCATAGCGATGAAAAAAAAAAAATTTGCAAAATTGAAAATTTTATTTCGTCCCGGCGACGGTACCGGCGAAAACGGTCGGTGGGACGCGACGGTCGGTGTGACGCGGACGTCGGGCCCGCGGCCGCGTGAACAGCGCGTCGGAACGGTTGTTAACGCGCGTGACTTGCGGAGTGTGCCGACGGTCGAACGTTACGTATATTACTGCGCGCGACTTTTGCGCCCGGAAAATTAAATATCGTTTGATTTCGGGCGCCGCAGCGCCAGTTGCTCTCGCGGCTGATGGCGGCACGACGACGACGGCAGCGGCTGCGGCGGCGGAGACGACGACTACGGCGACTATACGGCGATGACGACGACGACGACCAGACGACGACGGCGACTATACGACGACTACGCGGTACGTCCGACTACGGAGCCAGCGAACCCGCCGAAGACGGCCCTATTTTTTTCCGCCCGCTTTTTCCACCACCCCCCTCCCCACTCCCCAACCGTTCCCGCCGCCGTCGACCCCGCACCCCACGTCCACTGCGTTTCTTTTCGCCTACCTACCGCCGCGTACCGGTGGCGGCCACGGCGGCGAAAACGCGCGCGAACCCCGCCGCCGACGACGCCGCCGCGATATCATATTATTATTATTATTATTATCATCGTTGCCGCCGTCGTCGTCGTCGTTATTATTATCGGTTAACGCGCCGGTATAGCGTACAATAATTTTATACAGGGCGGTTCGTTTTTTCGGACACACGTCCGCCGACGTTACAATACAATAACAATAATAATAATAATAATAACAACAAAAATAATAATAATAATAGTAATAACGATAATATTAATTTGCGGCGCCGCCGCCGATACGTCTCCCCCTCCCCACCACCCCCACACCCCCTATCATCGTTATAACATTTTTACCGTTACCGTTGCGATACTTCAGAAAAACGGCGTTCCGAGTGCGTAAATATTTGATTTCCGTTCGTTATACGCGCGCGTGTGTACCGTTGGAAAAAAAAAACACGCGTCCGCGACCGGGCAAATCCGGCCGGGCCGAGCCTTTCGCCGAGCGCTCGGGCGTCCCGAAAAAAAACAAATAATAACTACTGTCCCCCGCGATCGGAGAACCGACGGGTCCGACGGGGAGAGTGGGGCGTTGGGGTTTGGGGGCTAGGGGTTAGGGGGGGTGGAGGGGGACGGAAAAAAATAACGTAAAACCGCGACGCGCGTTGATTTCTTTTTTGTCCGGCGGACAATGTACTGCGTGCCCTTTTATTGGCGTCACGGCCAGTGGCGCGCCCGGGAATTTCGCCCGGACTGACGCGGGAGAGGACGCGCGGGACGAGCGACTAAGGTTAGGCGCTGAATCATTCGCGGCGTACGTGAACGGGTCGAATAGCGACTGCGGGGATCGATAATTTAAAAGCCCTATAACGTATATATAAAAAAAAAAAAGAAAAAGCCGATTTCAACGCGTCAAACTTTACAGCACCGTAACTCACCCAAAACATATGCGTTTCGACGATATTAAATTACTCGCGATTCGCTGTATTTCTAAGCCGACGCGTGAGGAGGAGGGGGGTGGTTTAACCCCCGAACTACCCCCCCCCCCCCCGCGCACGCAGATGTGTCGTGATATCGTATCAGTGGCGGATCCGGAGGAGGGACCTGGAGGCCCGATGATTTTTCACTTTCACAAATGATAATTATTATTTATTTTTTAAGCGACAAACATATTTTTGTCGTTTTACTATTTTTTTTCCCCTCCGTCCTCGAACAAATTTTCTACTGGAAATCTTACACCGATCGAAAAATTTCAAGTTAGCCAACGGTTTGCCGGCGCTTACGGTAAATAAATTAAACAACCCAAAAGTGTCCCGCCGTCTAAACTTCCCTATACGGCAGTGGCGTGCGCAGAACTTAGGTACAGACTACAGGTATATACTGTTCGACACAATTTTTCTTACTGGCACTCAGTTTAGGTAACGTTAAAGTAAACAATTTTACGTTTTTTTGGAAATTTTATGTCATATGACAATAATAAATTCGAACAATTTTAACATAGGCACTGTGCAATAATTGCTATAACGCAAAATACAATTTATTATAGTGCGAACAAATTTCGTTTTTACCGTTGTACGTACTTAAAATATGTATACAATTTGTAAATTTTGTACAATAAATACCAGAATAATACAGAAAACATAAAAAAAATACCGATTTATCGATCGATAGCAATCCGAATATTATCGATAGTGATGTTGGAACGTTTTGGGCGCAAATCACCTTATCAGGATTGTTACCAACATGTTTTATAATAAATAAACATGTAGAACCGCGATCTTGCCAACGAAATAACAGAATATATTCTGTGTCTGTTATTCACAGATCATTTCGTCACATTATTCACAGGTATTTTACAACAAATTTCGTATTGAAAAGACATAATTTTTTTGAGAAAATTAGGAAACCGAGATTCAAGGAATTAAATATTAATACAGATACGGCACAGGCCGTGCCCGTCCCCCGCAGTATCACCTCTTTTTTTATTATTTTTATTTTTTTCTTAATAGTAATTTTAAAAAAGGAAACAAACCTTCCCTCCCACTTCAAAAATTGAACTCTGTATCCGCCGCTGTACCATGTACGTATTGAAAAAAACTTTGTTACGTTGTAGTGTTGAACGTCCGTGAAACGGACTAACGCGGAGTCCGTTTTAGTATTCTCTTGTGAATTTTTTTTTTTTTCTCAAGTCTCGGTCGTATTTTAACGAATTTTTATATCGTTTAACGGTAAGTCTACGGACAACGATACGAGTGGAAAATGTATTTATTCACCGTAAAACATACGACGGCACACAGCCTTTTAGCGCGAGTTGGGACGCGTTACATTTAATTCGAGAAAATAAAAAACCTATACGACCGTGCGAAAGAGATTCGAAAACTCTAAATGGCCCTCTTGAAAAATCCTGCGTCTGTGACACACCGTATTTGGCCTCCTTTAAGCCATCGATATATAAACGATATAAAACATATTATATTTTATCGTTTTAGATCCGTTTCTTTTTCTTCTTCTTCAGATCCAGTTAGTAAAAATGCTCCGATTTTACCTTATAAATAAAAGATGCGGAATTTCCGCTTGGCGGCACAGCGGCTATTTATCGAAATGTTCAGCGATTCGTCTCGTACATGTTTTTTTTTCGATTTTCGTCGATTCCCACGGGTTTCCCTTGGCGGCCACGAGAGTGAAACCATAAAAAAAAAATCAACGCTTCGCTCAGAATCGTTTTTTTCGTACGCAACGATTTATCGCGTATAGGTACACACGTCGAATACGCGGACCCGTTTTTCCGATTGTTACCCGCCTGTTATACCCAACAGCGGTTGTATCGACGTGTTTCCACCCACCCCCGGCAATATTTTCGCCCGGGATCACGGTTTCGTAAAGATAATTATATTTCAACGTGTTTCGTCGCAGCTTGCACATTCGTATCGCACGTGCGCCGTTAATGAGTCGTAACGGTTTACAATCGTAATATTTTTATTGTTCAGACCGGATGATAGTATTATATCCGGGACGGAGAGACCGGAAAACACTCGTATATTCCATCGAGCGTCCATCGCGCCCGTCTAAATTTTAACGGCTCCGATCCCTATAACGGCGATACGATTTCGGGTACCCGCACGCACGGTCATCTCCTCCTGCACGGCAACGTCCGGAGTCCGAAACGGCGTGAGATCGCGGCCAGCCCGCCGGAAATCGGATTCCTGCGGAAAAAAGTCCGATCACCCTGTACAGTGCGCGATACGTGACCACGCCGCCGCCGACGCCGCCCGGGTTTAATTTAGTAAATCCGTTAACGGGGGTGGGGTGGGCGAAGCGCGGGTGTAGATGGTCCGGGGCGGCGTATATGTACACGCGCACGCGATACAAATTGCCAAAGAGCGAACAGAATATAATAATATTAATATACCCGACTAATAATAATAATAATATAACGCTATCGTATAATATAATATTCTCTGTTCGTTTCGGGCTCGTTAGAACGGGTGGGGGGGGGTTCGGCGCACTCTTATCAATTTCCGAAAAAAAGTAAAAAAATCCGAAGTCCAAACACATACCTATGGATGTTGTTGTACGCACACACACGCGTACGTACGCATTATGCGCGTACGCGGCGGACACACACGCGCGTGGATACGGACCGACGGACGTCCGCGAGGTCGCAAACCGTAATCCCGTCGTAGGAGGGATTATTTGAATAATCGCGCACGACGATCGAACTGCGGTATTATTTATTACTCGCTGCCGTATAACAATACACTGTGATTGTGATTTTTTTTTGTTATCACGAACCGGAAATATTCTCCCCGGCGGATTCTAAGTGAATTTGTTTTCTGTATTTTTGTCTTTTCAATCATCGTGAAATCGTTTAAGATTTATTTTTCATCGTTTTTAATTGTTTACCCTAATTCGACTCTTGTTTTTCAAATAGATACCCTCCTTTTTTTAAACACAAATCCCAATGGAAAATAATTTTCTAGAAATTTTGTTACGCGTAACATTAATATCAGATTATTTACCGCCGTTAATGAGTTATAAGTTATAACTTATAAAGTTTACACCGAATAGGAATAGGGAAGAGTTACACATTTATCGTTTGAAAATAGGTATGCAATTTATTACATACTATGTTCTATTAGGTACTTCATAAAAATAATTTTACAAAACATTTGTAAAAACACTAAAAACAAATACTGTCCATGAGGGAGGGGGCGATTTCCCCCTTTACCCTCTCCACGGGCACGTCACTGCTGTAACGCAAAATTATTCTTAAATCCGTCATCTGTTTAAGCAATTTATATTTTGCTCGTGTTCGTTTTCAACTGGAATTCAGATCAGCAATTTGGACGCCATCATATTTAACAAAAGATCAAATTCGTCGTGAACGCGTATGAAATACACAGCTTTTAAATTACGCAGATTTTAAATTTAATATTCATCATACGCCTCACGGTTTTTCCAAAATAAGACAGGCTCTAAATATTCAAACGCCACAACTACCCGCCACAAAAAGCTGATTTAAGATTTCCTTTATGTTTAATTGATTCAGCCGGTGTTCCTGATCGCCTTGCAATCATACGTTTTAGAATTTCGATTTATTCCTCCAGAGCTCAATCCCAATTCTATATAATATCAGCACATAAAATAACTTATTATGGACGCAACCATTTCATAATGCATCGAATGCTACAAATAACGTTTAATACCTTTGGCCATGTTTAATAATAGCATTATTCAATTAAAATGTATCAATATTATGTATTATGTTTTTTAATTGTATGCACCATCAAAAATTAATTATCATATGCTATACAATTGTATCTGTTTGTACCATGTTAAACTGCAGTTTGGCGTAAATGAACTGAAATAATATTATTGGAAACGCTGTGCGAGTCGACGACTTGCTCAAAAGCGCAAGTTTGCGTGATTATGGCAAATTTTTATTTCATTATGTTATAGTGTATTGTATTAGACAAAAACGCTCGGGAAATTAATTATTAATAACGGATGGACTACGAAAAACCGGTCCGACGCCGGTTTCGCTGCGGCGCGATCAAAGCAATCCAAAAAAAACAACAAAAAAACCGAACGCAATTATTTCACAATGTCCTAGAGAAAAGCAGGTAAAATTCGGGTCAAAGATAGCGGACCAGAACACCGAGACGCGGTACGATTGAAGGAAAACCCGAGATCTGAGAGAAATGATAAGCTATATAGGCGAGGCACGTGCGTGGTGGACATCACGAGGACACAATATTAGAATATTTGACCCGAAAAGCGGTAAAAAAGAACCAGAAGAGTGTTAAACACCGCCAGGGCGTCCGAGACAGAGATGGATGGCCAGAGCACGGACCTATACAGAAGGATCGAGTTTTTTTCGGGCATGTACAGTATATAGGAATAATAAACACAGCGCAGACGTTTTCGTTCGATCGGTAATCCGATCGATGTATTGAAACGATACAAATTATTCTGAAAACCTATTTGAATTCCGGGTGAAACGTACGCGATATCGGCCGATCCGCTTTTTACGGTGTAATTTTATGGGGTTTTCTTTTTTATGTGTGTATATATATATATATATTTATTTATTTATTATATGTATATATTTTCCAATATAAGGACTGAAAATCGAAAGAGTGACCCGACCGACATCATAATTCATAATAATATAATATTCAAATCAGTTTCCTGAATTCGTATCGCTTCGCTACGTCTTCGGTGGAAATCTGTTTAAATATTGTTGTGCTACGTGCGACTGTGTCGTGTGTTGGACAAGCAAGAAAGCGCCGGATCCAATCGCTTTAAATAGTGACCGTCACAGTGGCGTTTGCCTTCTCTGTCTCTGGAATAATATAACCAAAATATGTTCGTGCGAAGCAAACAAAAAACTTTTAGAAATCGGTTTCAGAGATAGAACAAAATTTTTCGATTATTCATAATTTTTTTTAAATAACCGTGACTTAGTAAATTATCTATTTATCTTTTTCTTCTTCTCCATTCCAACCATGTGTAGTCAGCCACGTGCGTCCTAAATTTCAACTTGACCTGATCTGTCTCTTCACGTACATTGGTTATCTTTGATTGTCTTCATATCAATTAACATTTATCACTATCAATTATATTCAACGACTTCTTATCAGTATTAAACTCCTACTTCCTCCTACATTTGTTTTCATCTCTATTTGTATTACTTCTGATTCGTCTTTCCTGATAACATGCTCAAAACATCTCAGTAAATTTTCTTTTATTTGCCTGCCCTTGAAGCTGGCCTAAAGTTACCTCTTATATACTCAATATTATCCCATTTTCTTCCGTCGCTCCATTCATTCACCTAAGCATTCTCATCTCTGATACACTCATATTCTGTTATATTTTTCGGTCTACCCCCAAACACTCCAAACTATACTACCGCTGGTTTCACTACACTCTTATAGAACTTGCCTTTAAGTTTCACTAGAATTCTCTTATCACATAAAACACCTGACGCTTCTCTCCGTTTTATCTAGTCACACTTCTATGTTATATATTCTCTTTTTTTTTTCTCGCCGTATGCATCCGGGATGTGACAATTCGCACAAATCTTGTTTAGAGCACTTCAAATGATTTTTCGAAAACATTTCACACCGGTCGCATTTCGACCTGACGCAATCCCGTTTGTCGCCTGTTACATTAGGTAGAGAGATACCGTGAGATTATTCTGATACCCTCCCACGGAGATTTAAACTACCTATTAATATTTCATACAAAAAAATAATAAAAACCAGCCGACGGGTTTGTCTTCAGAACGTCGCCGTTCGACGAACCGCGCATTAAAAAATATAGACGAGTAGATAACGTCTACATTACCGTTAAAACCGATTTTAAAGGGTTGCTCGTTGTTTTTTTTTTCGCGCTAATACACTTTTGCTAAACCGCCCGTCAAGAAGACTGCGGAGACGGCGTACGTCACGTCTAGGTGACGACCTCGTTAAAGTCGACAATTTCCGCGAAATTCTCAACGAAAACGCGATAAATCGTAAACCGACGTGAAAACGTCACGAAACGGTTCCCAGGAATCGCGATACGTTTCGCGGCTGCGAAAATACCAACCCGCTCGCGCGATAGTAACAATATTATCATCAGGTCTGTAAACTTAATAATGAATTTGCATAGTTGATTTTCGTTGGTTTTTTTTTTCCGTATAAAAGAAAGTGGATTCGGTCGAAATTTGTTTCCTGTGTTGATTTTCGAACACGAAAAATCGTGTTTTGCACGTTTGAACACGTTAGAGGGTTAGAACGCACTATGTTTTATTATTTGAACGTGTCATTTCACGAATAATTCTTCGCGTAAACGCTGCTGTTTTTTTGTCTTCTCGATAACTTACATGTGCTCGGTCTAAACATTGACGTTAAATATTTTCGTTTTAGACGCGTAAACTTTTCGAGTTTATCGAGATAAAAACGACTCGTATATTCAGAACCCGTAGCAAGGCGACTGAGGCATTTGCATCAGACGCTGAGGCGCCTTTATTACGGGAGCGTTAAACCTTGACATTTTTTTTTATTCTTAAACTTAAAATACCAAACTTATGTACCGTATTTACCATATGTAATCTCTTTGACTATGTAGCTACGTGTGAACGTAGCTCTAGCAAACTCATACTCATAAATAAGAACTATTTGACATTCACTATATGGGCCAGGAGAGGTTATCAAATTTGAATATTTTATCTATGTAGAAAATTAAGTTGCCGGAAACTCTGTTCACGTTATTGATGAATTATCGGCAGTCGAATCGAGAAGAATATAATATTATATTTTTGAATAACTTTGTACCTACCTACCTATGTTGTTTACACAATCCACTTTCGTTTAATACTATATTTAATTTTTTTTTTTTTTTTTATTCAGTACTTCAGCGAAAATAAATAAGTACACGCTTATCTGAAAATTTGATAAATAATATTTTTTAAAACGGTACTTGAGAATTTTTTTTTCGAGTGGGAAGCGGGCACCGGATGCGTAAATTCATATCTTCCCCGGGCGTCAGAATAGCTTACTACGGCTGTGCATATTATATTATAAAGTATCAATGGAAATTTTGTAATAATATTCTGTGCTTTTGGACACTTCCGCGTGAAGACAAACGAATTTCAGTCGGCTTTTCGACTGCCCGTAATCGTTATCTCGTATGCATTTTATTCGCGAACGTATCGTCACAATTCAATTGTTGTCGCTTGCGTTATCGTGCGTTCGTGATACAATATTGCAAGCGATTAATTTTCACACCGATTTTAAGCACCGAGAGAAATTCTAAATATTAATTATTTAAGATTGGTGTGTACCTACGGCTTTAGTGCAATCTATATAATATTAACAAGTTTTGGTCCGGTAGTATGGGGTTACTCAGCAGACATATTATGTATAGTATACCCACACATACACACACACACACACACACACACACACACACACATACAAACTTAATATCACGATAAATTTATTATTGAGATTTATATTGAGACGCCCGTATTATAGTTATCGTGTTACTGATTTATGTAACGATTTAAATATTGAAAATATAATCAGTTTGTGCAATTAATATAACGCTCTACCGTACAGTTTCGGTAGAAATATTGATGCTTTTGACCGTTGGGTATTTAGGATTTTGCCAAGGAGGGAGATGATGAATTTTGAAATATTTTGTTACATAGAATTGTATAATGTGTACTTATAGGCTGTCTGGAACAAAAAAGGAAGATCCAATTTTAAATGCGTACATTTTTTAAAAGTATATTTTATAGTTCAATCTGCCTAAACTTTAACATTGACATAATATTATAGGTAGTAATTATTGTTAGTTTGGCTATACTATACTACGAATAAGGAGAAGAAGAGCCTTCTTGATATTAAAGTGGTTCGGATAGGTGACGTTTTTAATGATGAAATTTATCTATAGTCAAGACAGAATACCAACACACACAGTTTTGATTTTTTTGACTAAAAGGTATTGAAATTTGAATTTTAAAAATAAGTATTCGTATAAATAATAGCTGCTTAAAAAAAATGTCGTGGGGAGAGGTATAGGTAACTCCGTGACCAGGTCGTACCTAGCGAGGGGGTTAGAGTTAAGACCTTTCCCCTCGAAATTTTTTCTTAAATTCAAATTGAATGATTTTAAAAGCCTATTACATGTGAATGTTTCTTTATTTATAAACACCCGAAATAATTTGGATATTATTTTTATTTTACTGGATTTTTCTGGGAGGGGTTGTATGTTATTTTTTTTTAAAATTCAACTGGGAACCTATATTAAAAATTCGATAAATAAATGGAGTAATATTTTAACTACATTTTATCGATGTGGTGGTCGCTTGTGTAGTGGCACGGTACGGCGCGCGGCGTTTGAATAGTGTTCCACTACTCTCCCCGTGTCAGAACTAAAATGTTGGATATCTCGTCAACGGGTTCACGGAAATCAAAAATTTCAACACCGAAATGTATTTAAAATATACTCCATTTATTTATGGAATTTTCAATTTAAGTTCCCATTTGAGTTTCAAAAGTTAACACCTAAAACTGCCCCCAAAAACATCAGTAAGATAAAAAAAAAAATATTGTACAAATTATATTTGGTGTTTATAATTAAAGAAACTTTTGTATTAAACATTTTTCTCTATTTCGAATATTTACAGGGTAAAATTGCTGTAACGTAAAATTCTGAATACTCTGTATATATTGTAATACAAGTATAATATATAACTTGTATAATACTGAAGTATAATAAATTATAATTAAGGTAGAAATATGAGATAATGTAGTCGCCGAAATGTAAAAACAATGTCATGTTCATAATTTAAACAATATTTTTATAATTTCATATTTGATTACATAATATGACCTAGGTATTATTTATGCTCTAAACCCTTCCCCTCAACCCTCCCCCCCACCCGAAAAAAAAAAATATATATATTGCTGGTGGTGGCCAGCAATATATACATTATTGTTCCCTGAACTCCCCCTTCAATACTCCACTAGCTTTTGTTCCTAAACGGCATTATCGCACATGACCAAAGCACAGAGTATTAACCTTAATACGCCGGCTAATAAGAAATCGTTTGGTGAAAAAAATATAATTAAGTACTGTTAACATTATATAGGTCTCCCAAGACGATTAAATATTCATGTATTTACATTGCACAATAAATGTGCATTTTCGAACTGTGTAAATAATGTAGGATTAAATAATTTATCATTTTAGTTTTATTGTATAAGTAACGCGGGAATTTGCATTTCATTGGTAATTTTTATTTCATTTTCGACTTTCGTATTATTTATGTTTAGTGTTTATTTTAAGTCGTGTATATTTGTATTTTAACTCGCTGTTCCCAATCATAAGTTCGCCTTTTGGGGCAGCTTCATCAAAATACTTTATAATATATTGAAATGTATTTTCAATTTTCATATTAAATACTTTGTACTAATTAATATCGCGATTGATGATAATGATGATGATGATTCTATAAAATAACCAATTTAAACTAAACAAATAACTTACAAATAATAATGATGATATAAATTAGCGGGTTTTTAAATTTAAATTTTTTTATTTTTTGAAAAATCGACGCACGTTTTCGTATAATATTTTTTGCTGAATTTTAAAAACACACTTGTGTTTTATTTTTTTTACAGTACTTCAATTCGCAGCCCGGATCACTGTATCATCGGTGTTCGAGACTTACAAGGTTTTTCTTATTACAATTTGTTTTTTTCCCGGCTTGACGTCAGATCGAACGGCTCTATGGAAATCGATGTCATGTTATACCGAAGATATACCTGTCGAAAACCCAGATTTTTCTCCTCCTATATGGTTTTAAAAATAATTTCGCCTTTTTCCTCCGTATAAATATTCCAATCCGAATAATATTTTTTTTTTCGTTTTATTTTTTTATGTATTCATTTTTTACACACTTGTTGCGTCGGTCGTCGCCGAGCACGGGACAATACAAATCCGCGATATTGTAGTTTAAACAAAAAGATCCCGAGAGTTGTAAATGTAAAATTTCAAATGGTTTTATTGCTTATTTTCGATTAAAAACAAATGCTATCAATAAACAAACGCGATAGTTTTTTTGTTCCCCTCGGATGTTTTCGAACGCGTATTTCGGGACTTCAAATTTTTACGGAGTTTTTTTTTTTTTTTTTTCTATCGCCACAAGGCCGCGGATGTATTAAACGTGTGCATGCGTCATGTAGTCTACCTAGTATAGAAAACGCGCGGCGATTTCGTAAGCGCGTTTCGTACAATGCTCCGCGTCGTGACGTTTGTACCGCGGACCCCGTGCTCCGTTCCCGCGCAGTTTCGTCCGGGCCGTCACCGGGCACTCTGGCCATTGTCATAGCGAGTGTACCCATTACGGTACTCTGCGCGCGGGCAAAGGTTCGACAAACACATTACCAGATTACCTGTACAGTTTCGCCGTTACGATAGGGGCCGCCTCTTGGCTAATCGAATAACAAACACCGGGCCGGCGCGAAAACCGCCCGAGAAGGCCCTCCCCCACCCCTCCCCTCCCCTCGGACGCTATTTAACCGCCGTAATACCCGTCGTAATATCACAATGAACACAATGTTGTATAAGTAGACACCCGTCCGTTATATATATATATATTTAAATTATTATTATTGCATTATACATATCGACACATAATCGCGTTTAAGTACGATACGACGATAATAATAATAATATTAACGTTATCGGGTTCAAGCTCGACCGGACCGAGAATAATAACAACAACGCCGACTCGGCCTCTGTCGCTCGTCCCCCCTCCCCGTGTACAGGTGGATATTTTACCGCGTAGGTGCGTACGCGGTCTTATACTATGATAACGAACAGGGACGCGGTCCTCGGAGCGAAACGCGTTATTATCGCCGTTATCGGCAGTTACCGTCAATCGTTATCGGCCGTACGTGGTATGATTTGTTTTTATATTTTTTTTTTTTTCCCACGTCTTTATGGATACGTCACCGAGCTTAACATGTTGCGGTGCGCGGTGGTCTTACGAAAGTGAAAAACGCGGACGATTCGTTCGTCGCAGAGTTCACGGGGGGGAAAAAGTTTTGGTTTTTTTTTTTTTACGTTTCTCGCACTCGAGAATATTTTCGCGAATAGAGAGATTACGTTCAACGTGCGTTCAGCGTATTATGGAATATTTTGTAAACTGTTAGGACAAAACACCGATTTATGGTAATTTTAAATTATTAACAATATCAGTTTTATAATTCCTATGCACCCGAAAATTGTTATTTAAGAATTTAAATTCTTTTGAATTATAAACTATTAAAAAAGTTAGTTATTTTTTTTTTTTTTTTTAAAAAAAAAAAAAAAGGGTTTTATTTCTATTTTATCGAGCTGTATATTTTGAATACGGCAAAAACACTTTGGCATTTTCTCCAAAATAATATTCTCTATACATTTCATAATAGGTACCTACTTTTACTCTAAAATCAAAATTAAGCTAGTTTTACTTATTCTGCGTAAACTTTATTTTTGCATGTTACCCGGTAGTTGGACTGAGACAGTAGACGCGGGTAAACGTTCTCTTAACCATCATTTTATGTTTATATTATATAATTTTGATAAAAATAAAACACATATTGATGTAAATTGATTATTTTTGCATGTATTTCTAATTTTTAAGATGATATATAGGAGAATATTTGTGGTTTTTTTTTTTTAGGGAATATATCAACATCGTTACTATGACCAGTGGCGTAAAATGGTTACAATTTCTGGCGGTGTATTGAAATATGTGATTTTCCAATATACCATTTATAAACCAACTTTCTCGGTGAATCAATTTCTTTGGAGTCTAACATTTTTTTTTTTTTTTTTTTTTTATCAACAATTAATATTGTCTCATGTGAACAGCAAAAACTTAATAAATTATGATAATATTATATTTAGTATGTGACGTGAGAATATTAGTGAACAAATAATGCCGGTAGACTTATTCGCGTGGTTTAGCTTGGTGTACTCCGCAGGAGTGGATTTACCTAAAAGGCGCCCCTAGGCTAATAAAAAACAAGCTCCTACTTCTTAGAACATAGATACCCCTCTCAATTCAGTTACCGATTTTATATAAAAATGTATAAAGGATTATTTTAAAAGTATTTTAAAATCAACCTAAAAAAACTATTCCACTTTACTCAAATTAAACAAATTACTCCTCTCCACTTTATCCAACCACGCGTAATCCTATATGTTTCGCAATATGTTTATGAAAGTCTCCGTTCTTTTGTGCAAAAGATCCTAAGTACTTAAAACTCTCAACCTCGCCTATTCTAATGTTTATTGTCGTTTGTTGTCTTGTCTTGTGCCACCAAACTCGTACTCTGTTTTACTTCTACTTACCCTTAGTCCCTTTCTTTCAAGTGCTACTTTATATTCTTCAAGCCTACTGTTAACTTATTCCAGATTTTCTCCTTTCAAAGCTAAATTTCATCAGCACGACATCATGCACTATGATACCTCCTCTCATCTGTTGTCCCCGCTCACGTTCAAGAATTCACCACATTTGTCGCCTTTTACGACAAGTAGAAAATACCGTGAATGTATTCTGATCATCACTCACGGGTAGTGCGTTGAAAATATTATAAATTCATAATAATATTATCATATATTAAAATATAATGTAGAGTTTTGACATTCATTTTATTTTTATAATTTTACAACAGCTTGTTTGCTGTTTGACAAAAATAAACATTATTTAATATCAGTATTTATGTTCAACAACATTAATTCCGAAAACTAAATAGAATTTTATTTTTCTTGTAGATGGTAAACTAAATTCACACATAATAGGAATTATAAAAAAAAAAAAATCAACAGTTCTGCCCACCACGGTGCCCCCTGAAGTCATAACGCTCCTTGGTTATTGGTAGCCTAGTACTAAATCCGGCTCTCGATGTACTTTGCCCCACAGTCAAACGCGGTAACTGTCATACAACAATCATAATAATTTATTATGATTGGACAGTTGGAATGTTTTCGTTTTGATTTAATTTATTAATAATAAATTAAATCAAAACAAACACGTTCTTTGTTTTTTTTTTTATTTAATGTTTTGGTGTTGCCCAAAAAATAAGTAACTGACTATAACTCATAATGGTATTATAGATAGGCTTGAAAAAATGTCTATAAAAAAATGTTTTTACATATTTATTGTGTACAAACTTCGATGTTTTTTCAAAATATTTCAGCGATAAAAGTTAATTAAATAATATCAATAAAAAAAAAGATTTTAAATACGATTATGAACAGTGGAAGGAGTAATTCTAGTAAGAAGATAAAAATAAAATCAAAATTGTATATATCTTCCCCATTGAAAAAAACCATTTTTGAGACTCTAATTAAAATCTACTTTCATAATAATTTTCATGAAATTTCGGGTGGGGGTGTTACCTACCCTACCCCCCTTTGTACACGCGCCTGTTCTTTAGACGTAAGAAGAAAACAAATTAATATTAAGGTACTCTTATACCTATTACAATAAAATTATCCGGAGTTATATCGTTTTCGCACAGCATTTTTGGAACAAGACCACTCCAAATACGTTATATTTCTGAAACGGCTGGTGAGAATTGTCTTGTTCTTGCACAGAATCACGCGTAATTTTCTTTAAAAGAAACCACCATTGTCCCATTTTTGAAAAATAATGGAGTTGTCTAGTTTTTGCGCGGAACCCTTCAAATGTTTTCGTTTTAAAAGAATTAGTGATAGTCATTTACAAAATGAAAAACTATTGAAATCGCGCGTAGAGGCGGATAGTGCAGATAGCGTGAAAAGAACAAAATATCTTTGTGATTTTTCACGGTCCATATCATATATACCTATTTATATTATAGTATATATTTTGATACTATCGTGTTATCTCGACTAACGATGTATTTCCAAGACTATCTATTCTAATCAATCCTGTCATCCCGACTACCTAGTATATCATATAGTTGGTTAACTACAATTGAATATGAAAATAATTGTAAACTCCCGCGTAATTTAGAAAAACGCACGAATTCGTAATCTGTATCAACATAATGTACAATTTATTATTAAGTGTAGGTATTAATTTCATCGGTTGCTGTTTGTTGTCCTGTGCCCACAGTCGTCAATAAACACCCAAAGAACTTAGATTTATTTGACACGAATTTTGAGGCAGTCGGGATAGCAGGTTCGTGCACTTAAGGCGTTCGAGATAACAGGTTACTACTACCTATTTGTCTGATTAATGATTTTTTTAAACGCCGATAGGAATAATGACGCGTTTTCGCAGTTAAACGAAATATGCCAACGCTTCTGATCGGTCACGCCGGTTAGCCTCCCTCCCCCCAAGACGCTCGTCTTTTTAACGGGTGTATAGTTTAACCGACTACAATATCATATTACTAACAAGTAAATTACCGTATGTTATATTCGTAGGTTTAGTATAACTACTGTACAACTCAATCACAACATAATGATAGAACCCCGAGAGAAAAAAAATTAAACCTCCCTTCCTTGCTCTAAAAATTAGCGTCGTATTATTCCGACGAGGCTTTGATGTAGACAGTGTACGGTGCCCTTTATTTTTTTTTATCTATGCGGATATAGCAATAATAATAATATATTATATCCGTGGTCTCGTTGACGTCACGGAACGGACACGCTATTATTTCCCGTCGTACAATTACCGAGGACCGAACGCATTATTATCCTCGCGTTTACGTATACGTACACATATACGTACGTACATACATACTTATATTTTAAATTATTACATTTTTTTTTTTTTTTTTTCCTTGTCCTCCGTCGCCGCTCGTGTACCGTATAGTGGTTACCGCGTGCGGTTATAGGTTCTCGTTTCCTTTTCCCGCGCGCAATCCGTCTCGTCTCCGAGGCCCTCTCCTCCGTCAATTTGTACTTTTCAACGGGCGCATTTTTTTCACCGACCGCTCGCCCTCCCATTTTTCCACCCCTGTCACCCGTTCGCGTGCCGTCGACAGACTTTTCGGTTTTTGACATTCCGAACATTTTTTCCGTTTCTCGTTGGCTCCGCTTCGTTCCACCGCCGTAACAGTTTATCCCCCCCTACCCCCGCCACTCGTGCTATACGGGTCACGGGTTCCGGAACAAAACGTTTCAAAATCGTTATCCTTCTTCTACTCGCGTACTGCGGACACCGGCAACGGTGAATACATTTTTGTTTTTTACCCGCGAGGCTATAACACGGAATTCGGGCAGAAAACGAATATCGTGTTTTTTTTGTGCGGGGATGGGTTAGGTAGCTATGCACCGTTTCCTTTTTTTCATGGGTATAATTCGGACAGAATGACATGGTATAGTATCTTTCGCAATGCGTAGAAATTAACTCTGCGAAAATTGACCGATAACAGTTAGTTTTTTCGTTTAAAAATTTAAAAAAAAAATCAGATAAACGTTTTTCACACTGCAGTCTTATTTCTTGATGCGCAGTGGGAATTGTTGGCTTGATTTTCAATATGTTTACAAAAAATAACAGAACACGATAGCTCAAAATTCACGGAGTGACTGAAGAACAGATTATAACAGTCAAACAGTTGCATTACACAAATTAATTTTGTATTGTATTGAACACCAACCAACTTGAAACTATAAAATAAAGACAAGATACCATTATTAGATTTTATGGCTGGCGGTATTATAGTACAATCTTATCTATGTGACTGTCGATTGTCGAATTTTTTCAAAAATAGTTCTATAGATGAGTAAATACAATAAAATTGTATTTAAAATTGATTAAATTACAAACAATTTCACTTAAAACTTCTAGATTTGAATTCGTACTTACATGAAACGTATTTAAAACTTACTTGGTGATAAATTGGAAAGGTGGAAAAAAGTTGCAAATTCAAGCAGTATAGATTTGTTCCTTCTATGACACTTTTAGAGTAGCAAAACGCTGCTCTAAAAGAGGCCAAGTTTTGGGGTTTTATGCGACGTTTTGCTGCGTCATTGGAGGAACAAATCGATATTATTAATACAACATCCGTGCCTTAATTATAATTTTAGGATATCGAATATAATAAGAGATCAGGCGTAATATTCATTCGTGCATGTTACAGATCATCGTGTATAAGTAATGGGCCACCCGAACCGCTCACTTCACTACTGAAAAAAATTCAGAGGCCACGACCTTTCAAAAATCCCGCCATCGCCCCACCACGGGTATTTTCCCAATGACGTAGGTTATCCCGTATTGGCGTATGCGTCTATTGAAGAAAAAAAATATGGAAAAACCGCGAGATTGACTTCTTTCGATCTCTATAACGTTATATAGGTACACAAGTCAGTATTGTTCACCGGTAAATTATCATAACATTTTCGCCCGAAAACGCATTTTTAACATATCGATGGCGGTATAATATCGGTATAATAATATTGTATAATATCGGTAGTAATTTTCGAATTCATTTTTTTGTACAAAATAATAATATTATATGGTATTTGTTTTTTTGTTGTTTCGGTTATTCTATTCAATGTCGATTTTATATATACATATCATTTATCCGTACTATACGATACTCGCTATATTGCAGTGACATATTATTGACCGCGAATAAGAGAAAGCCACACGAATAAATGCATAATAAATTAACCGAAAGTAATTTTTTAAAAATCCAAGAGTGCGAAAAAAAATAAAGAAAGGTATCTCGTTCGGTAAAAAGTAAAAATAAAAAACATTTATTTTCGGGTATAGCGTGGATCCGGGGATGTTTTTCTTCTAGGAATTTCGTGGAATATTCTGACAATATAATTCGGCCGGACTGCAAGAAACCGAAATTGTATACGGTTAAACGTGGAAACGTGTCGAAAAAATGCGCGATTCCGGCGAATTTTTCGTCCGGACAGTCCCGAAATACCTGGAAAAAAAAAAAAAAAAAAAAAAAACAACAACAAGAATCCTTTAATCTGACGATGTCGCCGATGCGTCCGTCGACAACCTTTGCACTCATATATTCATTATACCGGCACGTTATATTATAGCGAACCGACCATGTGTATTCGACAAATGAAACGCGACGTGTGAATCCGAGTGGTTTTCGCGGTTTGAAATAAAATTCACGGGAAAATGCCGCAAGGCTCAAAAAAAAAAAAAAAACACGCGCTAGCCTAGCTCCATCCGGCGTTTTTAATCATCTTTACATGACAGCCTATACTACAGTGGCGTAGCGAGGGAGGAGGAGGATGTTGGTAGTATAGCAATACCCCACCCCCTCGGACGTGTTTATTTACTACGTGTTTATAATAGAATTGTGCAAGCTAATTATTTTACAATATGGCTATATAGGTACCCCTATATACGAAACTGTATCACTATGTATATTACTATTGACAATGTTCGTTTTTTTTATAAGAATTACAATATCAAATTTTGATGAAAATCATAAATATTACAGCCTTTCAAAAGATATGTAACCGAACTCCGCTCAGAATCGTTTGTCGTTAGCGATGATTAATCTTTGCGTATAGGTACAGGTATGCATTCAATTCCCCTCTACATCTTACCTCCTTAACTTTTCATCTATAAAAGTTCTCCACCCATCATGCGATGTATATGTGTCTTTTTTCAATTAATATGTTTCGTTACTTTTCATAACTCCCCCCTCCCTCTTTGGAAATTTCTGGCTACGCGTCTGCTATACTATACACTATACAGTAAAGTACATAAAGTTGTAAACAGTGATGTTTCCATTAAAGTTTTTTAGAGTATACGCGGTAACACCCGATTTCATAATATCTTTCTTATGGGTTGTATTGTTTAAGGGAAATATATAAATACCGAATGTACAAAATATAAAGCGAAATTACTAAAAACGAAATAATCGAAATTTTTAAAAATAAAATACTAAAATGTATCGTAAGAAAATTGCGAAACTGTCAATTATAATATAATTACCGAAATAAATACAATCTTTATCGCTATATCGGTTTCAGTGGCATACACTGTGTGAATTATACGGGTCACGAGAATAATATGTTTTATCGTGACGGATTTTTTTCTTCCTAACTATTTGAGAGCACACGAAGACAATCAAACATCTTCAATTTTTTCTCTTCAAAAATCACTCTTTTGTATATCACTACAGAAAAAAAATTCCCTTCGATCGGTGCAACAACTAGACAAATCCGATCGTTAGATACGGAGATTATATACAAATATAGTCTGTTTTATGTTTTGTTGCAACAACAAGACTTCTCCGGAGATGGTAATTTTGGTAATACGGTAATTCGGTAATTTGGTGAGGTCTGATTGTTGCGCCCACGTCCTCATACGTAGTATGCCCTTAAAATTTTTTACAAAATGTTAAGAGTATACAGCGTACCTATAGTATGTAGTATACCCTGTATGGGAATATTGTAATGCTATATATTGGCACAATATATAGCATGTAATCAGCATGAATTTGCATGCCTATCGCCGCAATTTGCATGAATATAGTATAAGCGTTATATCAAAAAAAAAAACTATGTGGGAAGGGGGGGGGCTGAAGAAAAGTTTCTACAGTCTTCCCGCTCCAGGCTTTAAATTCAACTTTTCGAACTCTTTCCAACGCCAATATTAAGCGTGCGGTTAGCATATATTTTCAGCACGACTGGTCCCGACATTTGCAGCGCACTTTCCCGACTAGGAACAAGGAAGAATTCGTACCGCCGGCGGTTTCATAGAAAAAAAATTTAATAATAAAGATACGGTAGGCAATAATCGCGAAATGAAAACTGTGAAACGTCGTAAAACCGAATCGATTACTAAATCGACTGTGTTCCTGCGTACGAACGGATTCGCGCAGCACATTTTCGAATTTTACGCGCTCTGGCGTACCGGTCATCCGGAAGTATTGCACTTTTGTTAACGGTCGCCTATACGGTATAATACTATGACGTAGTTCGCCCCTAAACACCGGCCGTTATTTCCGGTCCCTTCGGAAGTCTTATATACTGTAATCGGTATACTCGTCCCACGGATTTCCCGTTCCGTTTTGTCCGGCCGATTGAAGCGGTTCTACGCATCAGTAGATCGAACGCAAACGCGCCAATGCGAAAATAGTGAAAAATTGTGTGCACATTTTTTAAGAAAAAAAAAAAACCACCCGATTAATTGCTAGCGGGAGTGAACGCGAACAAACAATAATAAACACACTCGTGTCGGAAACACGATACGCGACCGCTTTATTGAATATTATCACGGAAACGCCAGTGTTGCTTCGAATTAGATTTCGTTTACGAGTGTTTAAGACGGTTCTTTGTACATTTTCGTAGTCGGAATCGAATGTTGTTTGCCACCACTGATTCGTATAGTAGGTATACCGTTTGAACATCCGCTGGAATACGGTCGTTGTGTGAAAATAACATATTAAATGACGGGAAAAAATGTCACCGCAACATTACATACATATATACGTTTGTTTTCACTCGTATTGCCCGATCGGCCCTTTCGTTTTCGCTCTTTTGACGACGGGACGCCCCGTGAAGTATTATCAGATTTAGATTGCGTTTCCGCGTTATATTTTATATCCCTTTAGCTTTTAGTTTTCGCGTTTAATGCGAATAATAACCGTTATCGCGTTTTTCGCGTGTAATCACATAAATAATAATAATAATAATAATAAATAAGGTAGATACGCAATGTAATAATAATAATAATAATAATAATAATAATAATAATAATAATAATAATAATAGTAATAATAATAATAATATGACGAGTACGGCGTTGGAAAAATCGTACGGATAACCGCGAGGTTCGAGAACCGAGGAATTATCATCGTTGAAACAGGATTATATTATAATTAGTATGCTTGTTTAATTATTATAAGCTACGACGTGTACTCGAGCGGTCCAGGAATTTCACCGAAATTTATGTTTTGGAAATATTATTTCCATTTGAATAAAAAAATCGTTTATTTTTCAATCTAAAACTATAGCTATAGTATACAGTAACTACTGAGTACAGAACATATTTTCTCACCCGCCCGTGGCTTTCTAAAAACTGTTGACGACGAATCGAAAACGCGCGTTTAAAATATTATTATCAAGTCTTAATAGAATATATTAGCTTAACAGTTCACAGTTTTTTTTTCCCCCGTATAGCATGTTTACGATGTTTTTGAGCAAAAACCAAGTCGTAAACCAGGCCGTATAAACTATACATTATCGAAAATTATAATCAATAACCCGCATTTGATAACGTATATTGATATTTGTCAAACTTGTTCGATTTGAATAGCGAATACAACATTATAATGATTTTAAGTCGGCTGCGGCTTTTCGAGAGGTATAATGCAAAACCAATTAACAAATATAGTTTGTTTTTCAATGGGTTCAATATCGAACATTCCAAGCGAAACGTTTCATAATAGTGCACTCGTCAACCTATTGAGAACAGAAATAAACATTGTATATTCATCCATTTCGCCCCCATAATATACGACAATATTGTTAACGGTGTTTTCATAATATTGTATAAGAATATTTCCATCACCTGACACTATATTTTGACACTTGCATCCAAGTCGCGAATATTTTCCGTTCAACGTTAACGACATACGGTGACAGCGAACGCAAACCACCTCCGAAACATAAATCGAAGCCCTTTAATTTGTACTTCGATTTTAATGTTTTTTTTTTTTTTTTTATTATTATTCATTTACAACGATACAAAGGTGAATTGTGATACCTATAGGTATTTTCTACGAACCAGTCTGACATTTTTTCCCCCGCGTTCGCCCCTGACACACAAATATCGTATAGTAATAACCACTATACGGTCGTATATTGCAATCACCCGACATGATCGTAATAAGATATTAAAACGAATATCAACGATACCTACAATATTTATTGTATTTCATTGTCGTCGGTCAAGTACCTACACTAGATAACCCGGTATTGGTTCGTCCTTACAATCTAAGCAAACCTACATTATCTATACGCATTTACCGTTCACGCCACACGAACAACAATAATAATTGTCCCCTGCCCTGAAATGGAATTCATTATTACACACCTCGCATCAAGAACAAAATAAATCGATATCCGGTGTTTTTTGTATAAACCATATGGCCTAGTCATATTATTATTATTGTAATAATATTCGGGCAAATTTCCATCGCTATATCTAAATTATTATGCGTAAATATTAGAAGATTTTCGCGGTATATTATCGAATTGTTATACCGCAAATATAATTTACCAAGATCCAATGCGTATGGCTATTATACCGGCGGCGAATCCGAATACCGAAAACGCCGGATATCGTGTTTGCAGACCGCATACGAGTTCGGCTCTAGCGGCAATATGTAAATACGCAACCCGTATTTTCGTCGAACGTAGGTTCGGTAAAATTCCTAAGACTCCTGAAACAAACACGGTTACGTTTCGGCTAGGGCTGAACTCGGATAGGGCCTGCAAACGCGGTAAATAAATTATCGAAAATAACGTCGGTTAGGTTAGGTTTTAACGCATGTAATACCCGCGATTATAGATACTATATTACGGTTGCCCGTCGACCCGCGATAAAATCGTCATAAAATGGCGATTGAATTGAATCCACCCAACCGGCTAACCTAACCGATGGATTCGATCCGGTTGCAGACACGGTTATTGCGGGTCGACACGTAACCACGGTATCTAAAATCACGTTAGTACCTGTGTACAAGTGCTCGCCATCATTGTAAAGTCAAGCCGTCTGCACTTTGCCCTAATTTGCCACTAATTCCTGTACTTAGGGGCGGTCAAATTGGGATGGGGGGAGATCAGAGGTAGGTTATACCTTTCCGCTATGACTTTTTTCCCTTAATAATATGTAACGTTAGCTAATTACGCACATATTATAATTAAAAATAAAAATGTATACAATAATAAACGTTTCGCTAAAAACTCAGTTTCGTCCCCCCCGACAAAACCGTTTGACGCCACTATCTATATGCTAGCCGCCTTGTGGTTCGGTGTGTGTCGGTCTGTTATACCAGTCGGACCTTACCACAATACCGCATACTTCGGTGAAAACACCACCGTTGGCCGCTGTCGGAATAAATATTACTATTATTGTTTTGTGACGGAAATGATAATGTTGTCGTGAAACCACGAGACATTTTGCGCGTCGCACTCTCTAATATCCCCAATCTCACCGTAACGCCATCGAGTTCTACCCCTCAAACGATACCGCACTTACCGGGAAATCGCGATGTCCGCCTTTTGCAACGCGATTTTCGACGCCCGGTGTGCTGCGTTGACGGCCGCGTCCACTCGTTCCTTGAGCTTCGCCGACCTGATCAGGAACAGGTGTCTCTTCTTCTGAGACGTGATCAACACGTTGTTCTTGTACTTTCCCTCCTCCTTTGTGCCATCCTTGAACGTGGTCACGCCGTAACCGTACTTTTTGTTACCGAACCATTCGCCCTCGTACTTGAGCCCGTCCGTCCGCTCGGCCACCCCGAACCCGGACCGCTTGTCATTCTTCCACTCGCCCACATACGTTTCTGTCGTGTTCACGTCCATGTGTTCGTCCTGTGACAGCGAACAAAAAAAAAAAAAAAACAACAAAAACCATTAAAATAAAAAAAAGTATTCACACTAATGCGCCCCGTCGACTCAAGTCAACGCTGTCGCCATCTCGTTGCCCCCTACTAAAGCGGTCGAAAATATAAAAAAAAAAAAAATCATGGTCCATGAGTCCGATGAAGTATAAGGTATTCTTCTTGGGTTTCACACTGTATATAACTTACGATATAATGTTGTATTTTCGAGCTATGTTCTACTGAACTACATAAAACCAAATGAAAACTCGAAAATTTCCAATGGCTTAAAATAGTTCAAAATCTTAAAAATTGTCAAAATGTTTTCATATATATCTGAGAAAATTTTTGGTTTCTATCTGGTTGATTTTATCCGAATATAAAAAAATAAAAAATAAAAAAATGTTTTCCAATTGGGTCTTGCGTCTTATATATTCAATAGGAATATAAGGAATTGCCGTGCCGATTGTGGTTATACTGTTGAAAATTAATTGTTTCACGCCTATTTTCTATGCATTAACGCCGTTATAACTAAGAAACTATTGATCGGATATGAAGTTATTTTTTTTTTTCAGTGATTAAAGGATAAAAACAAAAATTTAATTTTTCTCTAGATTTGTGTCTCATTGACACAAAACCCGATTGAAAAAAAAAAATGTGCGTTTACTGCAGTGCAATTAGCATTCAGATAACACTGCTGGACACCCTGTATATTCAAAATGCTAATAAAAAAAAAAAAAAAAATCTCGTTTTATTGATTTTAGCAAGATTTCTGGTAGATTAGTTGTTCGCAGACGTAAAAAAGAAAAATTAAAAAAAAAAACAGGACGCACGCGTTAGGGTTTAACAGTTCACGTCAGCGGGAGATAAATTATCATCAATATAAATGCACAGGTCCAACTTACAATTTGTTATTATTGAAACAACAGCAGTGATATAATAGTCAAATATATTATATAAATTATTATACATCTTTGTCTTTTTTAATTATTATCGTTTCGTTTTTGTCACTGTCGGCGCCCTTACTCTCGATGTATATTTTTTTCATTTCAATTACATTTAAAACGGTCCACTTTATTTAAACATCAGTATCGGTGAATGTGAGCGCATCGATAACAAAATAACAGTCGATATCTACTCGAGAAACAGGTTAGCTATCTGTACCTATTGTATACTATCCGCACACCGCTATGCATCCCCATCGGATTTAAGATGATATTTCATAAACTTACACGGTATCGGTACGAATAACAGTGTTTTTCTATTCTTTTTTTTTTTATTTTCATACAAATTATTTTTGTGAAAACCGGCATGTTTAACGAATTCCAAGAATCGAAAGAAAACGTACAATTAAATAAGGTACGTTTAATTTTACCAATCCGCTCACGAATCGACCGCAAGCAACGGACATAATACTAAGACAAATCGTTACACTACACTAATTTTAACACAATATGGATTCAAACTCAATAGCATATTGTACGCATCGTTGTTTCCTCCTGAATAGGATGTACAGATCCCCGCCGTTCGACACGTTAACTGTGATAGCACACGTTTTGTTCAAACACGATTATTGTAATGTATTGGAAAGAATACGTTTGCGGTTACTTCGATGTGCGAGTAGGTATAGTGGCACGGTGAACTTTTTCTTGCCAATTAGACCAAAACTATTCGGGAGATCGACTACCTATAAAACAAACCTAGGGGGTTTAGGGTGTCTAGCCTCTATTTCGCATTGATAATAGATACTATTTTGATCAGACGATGTAGGTATTTTCTTCGCAGAGTGTATAGGTCAACTCGGTATAATGTGTCAGATAACAATTTTTCCTTGTCAGGAACTATGGGTATTATGTTGTATACAAATTTGGAAAATTAAACAAGTTTCGACTATTTTTGAGTTTTATTTTTTAATGCACTCTTCTAAAATCCGTACCACATATATTGAATTCTGTACTACACACTTTGTGTCATTGTTTACTGAAAAAACAGAGACTGTAGTTTAGCATCACTCTAGAGTTTATAAAAACCCACTAAAAAATTTTTGATATGTAAATAATATGACCAAGTATATATGCCAAAATGCCAAAATTATTTAGAAGTATATGCAGTTTCACCAAAATTATTCTCTAAATATTGATGTTGTGCATGCAACTATTATATCAATTAATAATTATTATTATAGATTATGTATAGGTGCAATTAATTTGATATGTTACAGACATTTATATTATAAGTGGTTAGCCACCCAAACCGCCCGTCGATCAACTACCGGGTAACATAAAAAAACAATGCTTACCCAGAATAAGTAAAACTAGTTTAATTTTGATTTTAGAGTAAAATTACCTAAAATGAAATGTTAAGTGAACAAAATTTCGGAGGGAATTTCATAGGTGTTTTTCGAATTATGAACTATTAAAAAAGTTATAGTTATTAAAAAAAAAAAAGTTTTTGTATCAATTATACCGAGCTGTATATTTTGAATATAACTAAAACCCTATGGTATTTTCTCCGAAATATTGATCTCTATACATATTTCCATAATAGGTGGTTTTAATCTAAAATCAAAATTACTTATTCTGCGTCAGCGTTGTTTTCGCACGTTACCCGGTAGTTGGACTGAGACGATGAGGTGCGGGTTTAACGTCCTCCTAAAAATATAATCCATAGGGTACGAGAAACAAATCAATAATATTATTCGTTAGGTATATTGAAAAAATTATGAGATGATGCTTCTGAAATTCTTCTAAATGTATTCGAAAGTGGCTGATATAGACATAGACGCGATTTATTTCCTATTGAATCTGTGTCGTTATATGAAAACGATATTGAGATTTTCAATGAACTTTGTCCCGCCGTCGTCGAAAGCAATGATAATATTGTTATTATTCTATAATCTGAAATGCATCACGGAATCAATGAGATATAATTTGCATGTTATGGAAGTTTTTTGCGCTAATTAAAATAATTTCAAAAGAAGAGGAATACACGGCAAACGCAACTCGCACAGAGTTAAATTTTATTACAATTACATTAAAATAATTTGTACAGTTCTTGCTAAGGTCTAGTAAAAAAATAAAGAAATAAAATTGCGGACTACGTATGGGTTGGTTGAATGTAAAATATTTGAAACTTATGAAAATAATGAAATTAACGAATTAAAAAACGCTCGGATTAACAGAGATAATAAATCGTTGGTATATTTTCAGACACATACTATTGTTTTTACCGTTGAAAACAAACATGAATTCATTTTAAATTTTTAAATTTTTACATTATCGATCATTAATATTATTCTCCTAGGTCAACACAATTTTATCCACATAAAACCAAATCAAATCTGAACAAATTTGAATATGTCAAAGCAGGTCTACGAATAACGCAAAAACACCAGAATGTTTTGGAAATTGTACCGTGTCAAGAAAAAATGTATAAAACTATAAGTATTCGTGTAAATGAAAATGTCTGGACTCTAAAATTAATTTCAACCGAATAAATTATAAAAAAAAAAACAATGATAATAATAGGTAAAATCGAAAATAATAAAACCAGTGTTACTGTCAATTTTCCCGTTCTTCCTACGTTTCTCTGAGTTATTAAGAACACTACAAAGTAAAAACGACTTTTCGATTCACCAACTAGACACAGTTTTCTTTTAGATAACACGCTGCTACACTTGAAATTCTGCGGGGCGAGGTTTCTGGTAGAATAAAAAAATCGAAATGTGTCCGTTTATTCTATACGTTTTATCAGGTTTTCCCAATTGTATTATGAAAACTGCAAGGAAAACCAAAAAACGACCTCGCAGTGTGCCGCCTATAGATCCGAAATGCTGTATAAAAAACAAATAGCTCTCTTTTAGTTTTTTTTTTATTGGAGCATGATTACCGGCAGAAAAGTTGTTCACAGACACAAATATAAAAAAAAAAAAAAAAATAATAATAATAAAAAACCACACACGTCCACTGTAATACGTTACTCGCTGCGCTTAGAAACTAAAAAAAAAAAAAAACCAATTCAAACAAACCGAGTTTGTGCCGCGGACTCTGGCGGGGCGCTTTTAAACCGATTATCGTCGAAAATAGCACGCGTGCAAATATGTGCATCTGTCAATATTATGTCTATATAGTGCAACACGTGCAACACTAATATATTAACGTATTATTTATTTACGAGTTCGGTGGACTATGATGATGGTCATAATGTAGTGTGTGTGCGCGTGTTTTTTTTTCTTTCCACATAGCGGTCGCGTATATTATAAGAGCCGACGAATAAAAAAAAAAAAAAAACACGTATTATTATTGTACGCATTAAATACATATAATAAATATAATGCACGAGCGTAGTCGAGTTTGTGCATTTTTTTAAACGCTTTTTATTTATTTATTTTTTTTTTTTTATTCGGACTTATTTCGGTATTATTTTTAAATCTGTACTGCGCGTGATGAATATCGCGTTATTGTGCGATGGTCCCGGATAAAAATAATCGTACAACGTAATCGGTATATAATTTAACTGCGTACGCGTCATGAGGAGGCGACGGAGGCGGCGGCCGTTGTACGTTTATAATAATAATAATAATGAAAAATAAAAAAACACAAAAACCGCGGCCTTTACGCGAACGTCGGATATTTTCGTCGGCGAACGTTCAAACGGGAAATCATGTACAAGATAATACGACGTACGCAGCATTCGGAAACGTGCGGAAAGTGCGCTAAAAGAGTAGAATCTAATCGAAGAAAACGTCGACGTGTTGTTTATTACGTTTTGTATGTATAGGTCTACACAAGACGTGCATGCTGCACAAGTTACTCAAGACCAGTTTTGACGTACGGGCGTGAGACGTGGGCTACTATACAGAACGTGACTACTTTAAATTAGCAGTACAACGGAAAGAGAAGTGACGGGAAAATTGTCGGCCAAGTTCATAATGTGGAAACGGGAATTTTACGAAAGAAGACGTAACATAAAATAACAACGATTTACAAAATATTATGTATGGAAGACCAAAATATAAAACGACGTACAGTAGCGTAGCGATGAGTGTGTGTGTGTGGGGGGGGTTGTTTTGGTGTTCAAACTCCCCTCTATATTTATGCCAACAATTGTAATTTTTACTACACGTGCAATAATGCATCAGATTTCTACAAGATGTGTTGTGTAACGTATAGATAATTATTAAGTATGTACATGTTATTATGCGTGTTTACATGTGCACAATAAAGTTACAAAACACCCCCCCCTCCAAAACAATCATTGCTACGCCACTGCTATCGTATAGCAGAAGCAAGTGGACAGAATGGGCCGGACACGTTTGGAGGACAGATGGAATAACTATAAAACGAGTCACAAAATTGTCAGATATGACCGGTCAATTCAGTGACCAATTTGAACCGATTTGAGTTTCTGATCGAAATAATATTTCAACTATCGGAAACATTTTCCTTTTTTCCACGTTATGTTTCAATAACTGATGAGAGTTTTCCTAATTTCCTCCAAATTTACATTTTTTTTTTTTTTTTAAATTTTCATGTCACCCGATCACTTGACTATTCCACCAATCTACTGACACGACACTCGTTCGAGAGAAAGGCATATGGACCGTTTTTACGGACGAATATGACGGTTTAGACCGAAAAACCGGTAAATTCTATAGGAAATTACTGCGTTTGACGGATTTAAAATTTGAATTTGCATTACGGATCACTAGATTTAAGTTTACAATAATAACTCATACCGTTTTGTTCGGTTTCAGGTCTAAATCAACGAAAAAGTATATACCGTCACCGATCCAATCTCTCCCAAAATTAAGTAGAAACAAAATCACAAAACAAAAAAAAAAAAAAATGACAACATTAAAAACTTTATTGATTAAACTTATTACTCGCAGAAGCTGTGTCGAACTCAATGATTGGAACGCGATTTTCGATCGAAAAGTTCTTTATACGAAAGAGACAAAAATATGGGACACGTTCGTTCAGAATCGCTTCGTATAAGCAAATAAAGTTTCCGACGTGAACAAACGTTATTAAAAACGAATCGAATTTTTTCAGGGAAGGGGGGCAAGTAATTTTTTATTTTGATTTTGGACCGCCTTGTTTTCGCGAAATCGCGGACGACGAGACTGCAGCGATAGAATCCAACAAAATAATATCGCACAGTTTCGGAACGGCGTTATTAAAGTCGGGTTTTGTTTGTTAGACATTCGTAAACATTACGAACACGGGGCGAGGACACTTACCTCAACGATGAAACTGGCGTTGGAGTCCGTGTTGTAAGACTCGCCCATCGCGGACTGAGACGACCCGGTACTGATCCACGACGTGCACGACGCGGTGCTCCGGATGCTGCCGGTCGTCTTTTTCTCCAGCTCGCCGGTACTCCTCTGTTTGCGCATCCGGAAACCCTTGAAAGAACAATTGACAAGACGTAAAGTATATATAGGTACACTCTACAAATAAACCGTTATAATAATATCGTAACGTAGGTGTATACAATAAAATCGAGACTCATTTTACATAAAAAAAAAATAACACGAAGTTGGGCCGGTCTACACTGTACGCGATGAGTAACCCGAGAAAATCGCGGTTTTTTTTTTCTTTTCGGGCTCCCGGGAGCTTATTACAGACCGTATCCGAGTCCAGAACCCGACGTGGTCTTTCGTCGGCCATTCAAGACGCTAAATAACTTCCCCGGAACGTTATCGGGTCTGGTCCGCCGGGTGGGTACCTATAGGTTAATAGTTATCCCCGCGCTTTATCTAAACCCGGGTGCTGGTTATTCGTCGGCTATAGGTTGGTAGTATAGATTTTACAGGTTTACACTCGGGACAATAAAACCTTGTTATTGGAGACGTGTCGGATTTCGGGTCCGACAGCGCTGAAAAGTTTCGTGAAACTACGGATCGTATAAGTACGCACCCCGGAGCTGTGGCGGCGGTGGCCAACATTCCGTTTTACCGGAAACGCATACATATAGCCGAATTCAGCTAAAAAAAACACCGCCATGATTATGCGTTTTATACTGTCGGAAATAGTTTATTGCGATTCAAATAATAAGGATTTACCGGTTTTTCTATTATTATTATTATTTTTCAACAGTTCCGTTCCAAAAAAAACAACGAAATGTAAAAATTAAAAATACAATTATTGAAAATACGAGATTCGGTGGAGTGCGATGACACCCCCTCCCCTCCGGGATCGTATGAACGTAAAAACATTATTAGAAAATACCAAATCCCCGACGACGTTTGTCCGGTTGTACCGGCGAATCCTCCCGACAATTATTACTATTGGATTCACTACCGATTCGTCATGACGACGCGCGACGGTTACAACGATTACGACGAGAACGTTGAGAATATGTGCATAAAAGTAAACGAGGGTACGTATTTGGTCGCGGATATTTAATGAAAAATTCGGATGACTAATATTGTTCAGTTTTGCGCAATCGTTTGGTGGTTAAATTTTTTTTTTTTTTTTGTTTCCAAACACGAATATCACTTCCCGCATAGCTGTACGAAACGCATATTTCGCGAACGAAATCGGCTATTTTACACCGACGAAACGTGTACGCGAAAAAGTCCACGAGATTAGAGTTTCATCGGGTTTTGATTTTCGGTACCTTCCGATTTCGCGTGCGAAAACTGCAATATTTGATAACGTAGATGTTGTTTATTATTATTAGAATAAGGATTTCGAAGGGATTCACTCGGTTTTCACATTTTAGGCTATAATATTTCGTATTTTATAATCTTTAATATACCTTTTAAGAGCTTTTATCGGTCTCGGTGTACTATCATTTTCTATACGACCGACTGTCTTGTAGTTTTTTTTTTTCTTTTCTGTTTCAAAGGCGTTTTACCATAGATTTTTAGCGCTTCTAAATACGCACTCTAAATTAATAAATAATCTCTAACACGATATTACAGTGTCTGTCTAATAGGTAAATTTTTGTTTTTCGGATTTTCCCCGAATATAGAGAATATAATATTGTGCATTGTGTCTGTTATCTTTACACCGGTACTATTGGACACTTCTATGTAGCGGCTCCCTCTTGACCGGACGAGCTCAAACACGGGGAATTAGAGTTGTTGTGTACGAGCGGATTGGAATGGCAATAAAGTCGGGTTGGATTTCAATATGAATTTCACCGTGCTGTACTACGATGCGGGACAATGGGGGTATTTTGTCGGCTTTGAACATCCGTAATATACAGACTCGACGAATGATGGCAGATCGAATTTTGTGCACGCATTATTGTGTGCGTATACCTGTGCAAGGATGACGCGCCTTTTGATGGTTTCGACTTCCAAAACCCCCGCGCCGACCGTCTGCAGTTTGTTATGTACGACGTCATGCGAAATCCCCGGGAACTGTACCTGTTTTGATGAAACTATTTTATTTTTTTCCGTTCGATTCCTTGTCGTCTGACCGGACGGACATATGATACTTTTTTTATATTACCCGAAATAGGAGAGGGATAATAGACCGTGATACCGTAAGATAGCCGGGGGGAGGGGAGAGGGGGCGGAGATGGACGCGATGGTCAACGGGTGTCTATAGCGAGTACAATACGCGCGAATAAATACAAATATATATCAAGGAAAAAAAAAAAAAAATGTAATATATTAGAACGGCGCCAAGTCGGCTGGAGGAAAAACAGGACGCTCTATATACAGTGGCGCGGAGCTCGGCTGCCCGGCGAGTCTCCGGCGGTTTTTTTTTTTTTTCCTTTTCCGTTTTTATAATATTCTTTTCACTGCAGAGAGAGCTTTGCCCGCGAAATGCAATAACAATAGGTCGGGATAAAATAAAATATCGCATTGGAAATGAATAATAATTATTGTTATGAGGCGCGAACACCACTGCAGCCGAGTGCTTATTTCCGAAATGTCGTACCGTTATAATATTATCGTTTATAGCGGCGTATTATCGATCGATCGATAATGTACAAACAGTATACCTACACTATACTTAGTATTGTTATTGTTGTTTTTGTTTGTGTTTGTTGTTATTATTATTATAATTTTTTTTTTTTTTTTTTATTGAATTCGATAATAAGTGTCTACGGTAAAGGAAAAAAAACCACCGACGGGCGGAAAAAAAAATATTGAAAACGTCGACCTTGAGACGGAATTGAATTATTCGCGGACCACTGGTCCCCAGACGGCAGTGGCGGCGGCGGCGCTAAATTAAATAAGTTATAATGCGGTTTCGGGGGAAACGTCGGCGTTTATTCCGGGAAAGTGTTTTGATCAATTTGTAAACCACAATAGTATATTAAAAAATGTTTTCCCGGGCGAAAAGTTCGGCGATCGTGGGAGGTGGGGGTGAGGGTGGTAAGGGCGAATACGCGGAAAACTCGATCGGAAAAACGACGCGCGAAACTAGGGGTCTCCCTCTAGAGAGCGAGAGAAAAAAAAACACGAAACCCGTTCGGTCGCTCTGGTATGTGTATTATAATAACCGCATTGTTTCACGTTTTAGATTCTGTGCGGACAGAGGAGTGTATTGGTTTTATAATTATTATGATTATTTTTTTTTTTTCATCTTTTCAACCGATTTTCAAGCAGAGCATAGGTGTATTCTGAATGGAAATTTGACTGGGATGGTATTATACGCAGGTGATTTTTATGATTATCCCAAGAATTTCCCCGACAAATGGGAAAAACCGTGAAAAAACTCGCGGATGAACGGGAAATCAGGTACAATGTTAGACAAATATTGTTCAAGTGAATATATAATGCGCATGCGATTTGCTCACCATAATGTGACGTATACGTTGTTGACAAAGCAACCACTATCAACCGAACTACCTTCAGAATCGTTTTTCGTTAACGACGGTTAATCGTTGCGTGTACGACGAAATACGTTCAATTTCCCCTCTACATATTTATTCCCAACGTCTCGCCTACAACGGTGGTCCACCCGTCCACCCCTATGTTCTTGCCTTTTCTCGTATGCTGTCGAACATAATATAACGTGAAACAAACAAAACCTACGATCGTCTGTTGCGCGTTAATAATAATAAAACGATCGGAATGTAGAAATTTAAATTTTACGCGCGCGTTCGGACGGTACCGACAAAGGAAATACGGACTACGCTCGGCGGCTCGTACCCGAGCGAAACGGTTTCCTTATAATTAAATGATTTTTCGTCCACCGAGTCGATATAGAACGTGTCCCGTGAAAATGGACGTTGTCTCCGGAGACGATGAAGATAATCGAATTCGGTGTTTTAAGTACGTGTCGCGGAGACAAAGACTACAAATAAGGCAATATTTTTATTGATTTTATTTTATTTTTCCTGGGCGAAAATTTTTAAAAAAATTATTTTCTTTTATTCTTTTCGAATTTTGGAAAGATATGATGGACATTTCACATAAAGTTTTTTATAAACGGAGACGTTTCAATTTTATATTTCCATTATCCTATAGTGATTTTTAATGTAATTTTTTTTTTTTTTTACAAAAAATAGTGTACACTTTAATAATATATAGTGGTGTTTTGAAATTATCTCAACTTGTTTTCCGATAAGTTTTTTTTTATCAAAACACTATATTTATGTTTAACACACTATTTTTCTATAAAATAATAAAAACAAAAAACCAACGTGATTAATGAAAATAAAAAGTTAGAACATCCATATTTCAAGAATAATATAAACTCTTTGAAATGGCCATCTTCAAATGTTTAATCATTCTTGCCAGTAGTCAATAGAGTGAATATTCGGTGTGGCTCTTTTATTATCCAAAGACATTTGGCCGAGATAGATTATTTAAAATTTGAAATTTGATCACATCATTCTAAAATCGAGTTCAATTTTTTAAATAAGCGACTTGGCTTCTATAAAATAAATTCGAAGTTTTTCAAACGAAATATTGCTTGAAAAAAATAACATAATTTGTAAAACGCTCGGAAATATTATGACGTTTAAAATTACTTTAATTTTTGACAAAACGATATGATTTTGTATGTGTACAGTACAAAAGTATGCCGCATCAATAATTATTATTAAACTATTCTCCGGCAATTCACTCGGATAGTTAATTTTCGGACGTTAGCCACTCGTTCGATTTTAAATGAATGGAAAACAAAATGTTCAATAATTCGGAACCGTCCATATCGGCGTTTTTATCGTTATTTGTGTAGTGTTTTCCTGTATAGCCGACTCAAATGAACGCAATAAGTATACCTATATTTTATTTATTTTTTTATTTTTCAAACTAACTGCTAACTTTTAACGGAGAGATTTTCGTTATTCGAGTAATATTTTGACTAAAAAGAGCGCATTCCCGATAAAAAAAAAACAAATCGCTTTTGTCGGTAAATGTTGTATTCAGTATACCGTAATCACGGGGCGGAGAAGAAATGGGCGTCAAATTACCCCCGTTGGCCTTTTTTTTCATACAGTCGGTATACAAAGTCGTTTTAAGTTTTAACAATTTGTTCCGTTGTTAAAAATCACTCTCAGAATAAAATGGGGTATGCATGATTGCGATTGAAAACCAGGATGCTACTATACACGTACGCATTACGTAGACTACTTATCTAATAACTAAAACGAATTTTGTTTAATAGAATCGATTGAACGGATTGGCTACGCGTAGCAGCGTACCGATAGGTCCAACCCGCCGAGGACAGAACGAAATCACT